TGTGTAAGTAAACCACTTTCTTTCTTACACAATGACACACTCATACTTATCACTCACTGCTACTGATGTGCTCTGTTAGTATGCATGCAGGAAACCTGATGAATGAAGAAATGCCCAGACTAGCCAACATCTCAATAAATTATGAGGTATGACATCACTTGAATGGTTTCCTTGGACTATGCTTCCATTATTCTAATTCTGTAATAAAAAGAAATTTTGTCCAAAAGGACTGTTGTTGTTTTTTCTTCTAATAATTAACATATTTAACATAATTAACATTCAATATGCGCTCATTACACACGTGCACACTCTTTGATGATCTGAGAAGCAGAGCTTAAAGGACAGTAGGAGTAGCTGAACAAAGTGTATTTGTAGGAAAGCCGTAAGAGCTATTGAAACGCCGTTTTCGCGGGTTGAAAGGTTAGGGTGTCCACCAAAGGTCAGAGGTCAAATAACATTTGTATCTCAAACTGTGACGTCAAAGTCAAGGTCCAAAGATGGTGTGCGCACCTGTCTTTGGTCATTTCCCATTATAATGAATGGGAGGCACAGTTTCTACCAAAACGCTCGCTGCAGACAAACTACATGTCCTATTTGAAAAAACTCTGGACCATGAGTGAGGGCACAAACACAGCTAGGACATATCCAAATGGCAAGTTGCTCCTCCTTTTGGTTTTAGCGGGAGAGCAATGCGTTTGAGCCATTAAGCGATGGGCTGGAAAAACTTGACTTTTTCTCCTGCCATGGGGGCGCTCTTTTGGGGAGAAAAAATTCCCTCACAGATGTGTTGATGGCTGCACATTGCATCATCCTAGAAAACTTGGAGGCCAGTGAGGACAAAAATAAAAAGTTATAAGACTTTTAAAAATGTGGATATTTGGGTCATCTTTGGCGCCCCCTAGAACCTAAACCGTGGGGTGCAGCGTCATGATTTGTACAACTTTGAATGGCCATGGGGTGTAGATTGGCCTGAGCAAATTTGGTGTCAGTAGAACGAAAGTCTTAGGAGGAGTTAGCCACATTCCAATGTGTGCGAATCGGCAAAAAATGCAAGATAGCCCTTTAACCGTACATTTTACAGATATGTGCCCATTGACTTTTTCGTAGATCTTATTGAGATACACGTGTGTGTCAAATTTTGTGTCAATATGACAAAGTGTGTAGGCGTGACACTGAACAATGTGTATTTTCACCTTAGGGGACAAGAAAAAACTAGGACCCCGTTGGGGCACTGGCGGGCCCGAGCTGTGTCGCGTCCCCCCCCCAACGCGCTGCCTCCCCGTCCCATTTGTGTCCTCTGGCCATCGCCCTCTCTGGTAACGCCCATCACTGAAAAGACCCGTTTCCTTCATCGGCGTTTGCTGTTCTTCCTGCCAGTGCGTGTTGCTTTCACTTACACTTGCCACAGCCAGCCTCGTGAGTGCCTAGCCTATTGGATATCACTGTCACCTACACAGGACAGTCATTACCTTTCTATTAATACTTTGTTTTTTAATTTCACATTAATTTCCATATTGTATAAACAACTGGAAAAAACTTGAGCCCCTGCCCCTGTATAATCATGTGCAGGTCTCTGTTCTAGCTCTAAGGTGAATCTTCACTGCTCATGTTCTCCTCAGAAGCAGTCACCTCACTCCCCTCAGGTTACTGTACACATGCACCAACTACCTGCTTCAGGTTTGGATGGAGCTTCATGGTTGTCTTTTGGAGAAATGACCAGTCAAGTTGTGTTTGAAATTTGATTTTTTTCAGGGGCAAAAGGAGCCTCTGCATTGTTGTCAAATATGTAAATAGCATGTTTTTGCAGGTGCTAAAAACCAGACTCTGAGTGTGTGTGTGTGTGTGCGTGTGTGTGTGTGTCTGTGTGTGCGTTCAAGTCACATGACATATTTAACCGGATGTAGCTGCAAGAGGGAGCCTCGTTGACTCTCCGTTTCAATTTATCTCAAAAGTGAGGACCTCAACCTATATACCAGTTTTTAAATTGTGTTGATAGGCCAAATAAAACCAGAGTTATGATAAATTATGTCCGCGATACTTGTTTTCTGCTTATTTTGATCACGTTCGGCGCTCGATCGCGCTGTATGAGACAGGAAAACATAGCATGCAGACATTAGCGACAGGTCTTACAGGCGGAAAAGGCTTGCCAAAGGAAAAAAAAACACACCACAACATCTCTCCTATTGGTGGAAAACTTCACCACAACAACCAATCCAAAATTATATGGTGACTGATTGACAAGGGGCGGGAACTTACGTTCTTCCTGCAATATGAGAAGGGAGGGAGGGACTCTCAGCAGGGATGCAGTCTGGGACACGTAGTTGCAAACCTAGCGACTTTGTTGTTAGATTCAATGACTTTTCAGACCCCCTAACGACTTTTATTTAGAAAGAAAGGGACTTTTATCGACTTCTTCTGGAGTTTAGAGACTCTGACATGAAGCAGGCTTTCCTTACTGAGGAGTTAGCAACGCTGCTAAGGGTGCAGAGCCACACATGCGCTCAGAGCTCTGCATGGGAGACTGAAGCTGACAGAGCTGCAGCAGTTAGCAGGTTTCACCCTCAGAGACCACCAGGGGTTCATGTTGAGGCATTTTAATTTTTTTTTTTTTTTGTGCCATAGACACTGTCAGCACAATCTGCAGTTACACTAACAAAAATGCTGCAAAAAACAAAGAATTATGGAAAAATTACACATGGACTGACATAGAGGAGGATCTACACAAGTTTTTTACATCATGTTTTACATCATGCATCATTTACATCATGTTTTTTTGTAGTGGCATAAATAAAAAGTGACATTTGTGAGACTATGCAGTGTTTTGTAAATAATTTTACAAAGAACGCCTGGGCCATTGCCTGCATTTTGATGTAAATAGAGGTAAATTACTATGTTCTTTGTTAAAAATTTGCATATGTTTTGAAGTTTACAATTTTTATTTGAAGTTTAAGTTTTAAAAACAGTTCATCACACATATTTGTGGTTTAATTTCACATTAATTTCCATATTGTATAAATGACTGGAAAAAACTTGAGCCCCTGCCCCTGTATAATCATGTGCACGTCCCTGTTCTAGCTCCAAGGTGAATCTTCACTGCTCATGTTCTCCTCAGAAATAGTCACCTCACTCCCCTCAGGTTACTGTACACATGCACCAACTATCTGCTTCAGGTTTGAAATGGAGCTTCATGGTTGTCTTTTGGAGAAATGAGCAGTCAAGTTGTGTTTGAAATTTGATTTTTTTCAGGGGCAAAAGGAAGCCTCTGCATTCTTGTCAAATATGTAAACAGCATGTTTTTGCAGGTGCTAAAAAACAGACTCTGAGTGTGTGTGTGTGTGTGTGTCTGTGTGTGTGTGTGTGTGTGTGTGTGTGTGTGTGTGTGTATGTTGGCGTGTGTGTATATGTGTGTGTATCCTGCAGTACTCTGTACTCCTGCAGTGGCCAAAAAGACTTTTAAGAATGTGGATTTTTGGGTCATCTTTGGCGCCCCCTAGAACTGCAGTACTCTGTACTCCTGCAGTGGCCAAAATGACTTTTAAGAATGTGGATTTTTGGGTCATCTTTGGCGCCCCCTAGAACGTAAACCGTGGGGTGCAGCGTCATGATTTTTACAACTTTGAATGGGCATGGGGTGTAGATTGCCCTGAGCAAATTTGGTATCGGTGGGACGAAAGCCTTAGGAGGAGATAGCCACATTCCAATGTGTGCGAATCGGCAAAAATGCAAAATAGCCCTTTAACCGTACATTATACAGATACGCGCTCTTTGACTTTTTCGTAGATCTAATTGAGATACACATGATTGTCAATTTTTGTGTCAATATGACAAAGCGTTCAGGTGTGACACTCAACAATGTGTATTTTTATGTAAGGGGACAAGAAAAAATTGACTTTTTTCTCCTACCATGGGGGGGCGCTCTTTTGGGGAGTAAAAATTCCTTCACAAATGTGTTGATGGCTGGACATTGCATCATCCTAGAAAACTTGGAGGCCAGTGAGGACAAAAATAAAAAGTTATAAAACATTTAAGAATGTGGATTTTTGGGTTATTTTTGGCGCCCCCTAGAACCTAAACCATGGGGTGCAGCATCATGATTTGAATAACTTTTAATGGCCATGGGGTGTAGATTGGCCTGAGCAAATGTGGTGCCGGTGGAACGAAAGCCTTCGGAGGAGTTAGCGAAATTCCAATGTGTGCGTATCGGCAAAAAATGCGGAATAACCCTTTAACTGTACATTTGACAGATACGCGCGCATGGACTTTTTTGTAGATCTTATTGAGATACATGTGTGTGTCAATTTTTGTGTCATTTTGACAAAGCGTATAGGCGTGACACTCAACAATGTGTATTTTCACCTTAGGGGACAAGAAAAAATGGACTTTTTTCTCCTGCCATGGGGGGGCGCTCTTTTGGGGAGTAAAAATTCCTTCACAAATGTGTTGATGGCTGGACATTGCATCATCCTAGAAAACTTGGAGGCCAGTGAGGACAAAAATAAAAAGTTATAAGACTTTTAAATATGTGGATTTTAGTGTTATATTTGGCGCCCCCTAGAACCTAAACCTTGGGGTGCAGCGTCATGATTTTGATAACTTTTAATGGCCACGGGGTGTAGATTGGCCTGAGCAAATGTGGTGCCGGTGGAACGAAAGCCTTCGGAGGAGTTAGCGAAATTCCAATGTGTGCGTATCGGCAAAAAATGCGAAATAACCCTTTAACCGTACATTTGACAGATACGCCCGCACTGACTTTTTTGTAGATCTTATTGAGATACATGTGTGTGTCAATTTTTGTGTCAATATGACAAAGCGTACAGGCGTGACAGTCAATAGTGTGAATTTTCACTTTTGGGGGCGCTATGGAGCCATTTTGCATTTTCTTGTTTGGGCGACTTCAGAATATCGAATTTTTCACCAGGCCCGGTCGTCCTGCCAAATTTCATGAGTTTTCGCCAGTGGGAAGTGGGCCATTTTCCAGTTCAAAGGGGAGGAAAAAGAAGAAAGAAAGAAAGAACTAGGGCCCCGGTGGGGCACTGTCGGGCCCGAGCCGCGTCGCGCCGCCCCCAGCGCGACCGCCTCCCCCTCCCGATCGCGTCACACTCAAGGTCCAAAGATGGTGTGCGCACTTGTCTGTGGTCATTTCCCATTATAGTGAATGGGAGGCGCAGTTTCTACCAAAACACTCGCTGCAGACAAACTACATGTCCTATTTGAAAAAAGTCTGGACCATGAGTGAGGGCACAAACACAGCTAGGATATATCCAAACGGCAAGTTGCTCCTCGTTACGGTGTTGCCGGGAGAGCGATGCGATTGAGCCATTGAGTGATGGGAAGGAAAAACTTGACTTTTTCTCCTGCCATGGGGGATGTGGGATGGGGGATGGGGGGGGGGGGATGTGGATTCTTTTAAGAATGTGGATATTTGGGTCATCTTTGGCGCCCCCTTGAACGTAAACCGTGGGGTGCAGCGTCATGATTTTTACAACTTTGAATGGCCATGGGGTGTAGATTTACCTGAGCAAATTTGGTGTCAGTGGGACGAAAGCCTTAGGAGGAGTTAGCCACATTCCAATGTGTGCGAATCGGCAAAAAATGCAAAATAGCCCTTTAACCGTACATTTGACAGATACGCGCGCATTGACTTTTTCGTACATCTTATTGAGATACATGTGTGTGTCAATTTTTGTGTCATTTTGACAAAGCGTACAGGCGTGACACTCAACAATGTGTATTTTCACCTTAGGGGACAAGAAAAAATGGACTTTTTTCTCCTGCCATGGGGGGGCGCTCTTTCGGGGAGTAAAAATTCCTTCACAAATGTGTTGATGGCTGGACATTGCATCATCCTAGAAAACTTGGAGGCCAATGAGGACAAAAATAAAAAGTTATAAGATTTTTAAGAATGTGGATTTGTGGGTTATCTTTGGCGCCCCCTAGAACCTAAACCGTGGGGTGCAGCGTCATGATTTGTACAACTTTCAATGGCCATGGGGTGTAGATTGGCCTGAGCAAATGTAGTGCTGGTGGAACGAAAGCCTTCGGAGGAGTTAGCGAAATTCCAATGTGTGCGTATCGGCAAAAAATGCGAAATAACCCTTTAACCGTACATTTGACAGATACGCCCGCACTGACTTTTTTGTAGATCTTATTGAGATACATGTGTGTGTCAATTTTTGTGTCAATATGACAAAGCGTACAGGCGTGACAGTCAATAGTGTGAATTTTCACTTTTGGGGGCGCTATTGAGCCATTTTGCATTTTCTTGTTTGGGCGACTTCAGAATATCGAATTTTTCACCAGGCCCGGTCGTCCTGCCAAATTTCATGAGTTTTCGCCAGTGGGAAGTGGGCCATTTTCCAGTTTAAAGCGGAGGAAAAATAATAACTAGGGCCCCGGTGGGGCACTGTCGGGCCCGAGCCGCGTCGCGCCGCCCCCAGCGCGACCGCCTCCCCCTCCCGATCGCGTCACACTCAAGGTCCAAAGATGGTGTGCGCACTTGTCTGTGGTCATTTCCCATTATAATGAATGGGAGGCGCAGTTTCTACCAAAACACTCGCTGCAGACAAACTGCATGTCCTATTTGAAAAAAGTCTGGACCAGGAGTGAGGGCACAAACACAGCTAGGATATATCCAAACGGCAAGTTGCTCCTCGTTACGGTGTTGCCGGGAGAGCGATGCGATTGAGCCATTGAGTGATGGGCAGGAAAAACTTGACTGTTTCTCCTGCCATGGGGGATGGGGGATGGGGGATGGGGGGGGGATTCTTTTAAGAATGTGGATATTTGGGTCATCTTTGGCGCCCCCTAGAACGTAAACCGTGGGGTGCAGCGTCATGATTTTTACAACTTTGAATGGCCATGGGGTGTAGATTGGCCTGAGCAAATTTGGTGTCAGTGGGACGAAAGCCTTAGGAGGAGTTAGCCACATTCCAATGTGTGCGAATCGGCAAAAAATGCAAAATAGCCCTTTAACCGTACATTTTACAGATACGCGCGCATTGACTTTTTCGTAGATCTTATTGAGATACATGTGATTGTCAAATTTTGTGTCAATATGACAAAGCGTACAGGTATGACAGTCAACAATGTGTTTTTTCACCTTATGGGACAAGAAAAAATGGACTTTTTTCTCCTGCCATGGGGGGGCGCTCTTTTGGGGAGTAAAAATTCCTTCACAAATGTGTTGATGGCTGGACATTGCATCATCCTAGAGAACTTGGAGGCCAGTGAGGACAAAAATAAAAAGTTATAAGACTTTGAAATATGTGGATTTTAGGGTTATCTTTGGCGCCCCCTAGAACCTAAACTGTGGGGTGCAGCGTCATGATTTGAATAACTTTTAATGGCCATGGGGTGTAGATTGGCCTGAGCAAATGTGGTGCCGGTGGAACGCCAGCCTTAGGAGGAGTTAGCGAAATTCCAATGTGTGCGGATCAGCAAAAAATGCGGAATAACCCTTTAACCGTACATTTTACAGATACGCGCGCATTGACTTTTTCGTAGATCTTATTGAGATACATGTGTGTGTCAAATTTTGTGTCAATATGACAAAGCGTACAGGCGTGACACTCAACAATGTGTATTTTCACCTTAGGGGACAAGAAAAAATGGACTTTTTTCTCCTGCCATGGGGGGGCGCTCTTTTGGGGATTAAAAATTCCTTCACAAATGTGTTGATGGCTGGACATTGCATCATCCTAGAAAACTTGGAGGCCAGTGAGGGCAAAAATAAAAAGTTATAAGACTTTTAAATATGTGGATTTTAGGGTTATCTTTGGCGCCCCCTAGAACCTAAACCGTGGGGTGCAGCGTCATGATTTGAATAACTTTTAATGGCCATGGGGTGTAGATTGGCCTGAGCAAATGTGGTGCCGGTGGAACAAAAGCCTTCGGAGGAGTTAGCGAAATTCCAATGTGTGCGGATCGGCAAAAAATGCGAAATAACCCTTTAACCGTACATTTGACAGATACGCCCGCACTGACTTTTTTGTAGATCTTATTGAGATACATGTGTGTGTCAATTTTTGTGTCATTTTGACAAAGCGTACAGGCGTGACAGTGAATAGTGTGAATTTTCACCTTAGGGGGCGCTATGGAGCCATTTTGCATTTTCTTGTTTGGGCGACTTCGGAATATCAAATTTTTCACCAGGCCCAGTCGTCCTGCCAAATTTCATGAGTTTTCGCCAGTGGGAAGTGGGCCATTTTCCAGTTCAAAGGGGAGGAAAAATAATAACTAGGACCCCGTTGGGGCACTGGCGGGCCCGAGCTGTGTCGCGTCCCCCCCCCAACGCGCTGCCTCCCCGTCCCATTTGTGTCCTCTGGCCATCGCCCTCTTTGGTAACGCCCATCACTGCAAAGACCCTTTTCCTTCATCGGCGTTTGCTGTTCTTCCTGCCAGTGCTTGTTGCTTTCACTTACACTTGCCACAGCCAGCCTCGTGAGTGCCTAGCCTATTGGATATCACTGTCACCTACACAGGACAGTCATTACCTTTCTATTAATACTTTGTTTTTTAATTTCACATTAATTTCCAAATTGTATAAACGACTGGAAAAAACTTGAGCCCCTGCCCCTGTATAATCATGTGCACGTCTCTGTTCTAGCTCTAAGGTAAATCTTCACTGCTCATGTTCTCCTCAGAAGCACTCACCTCACTCCCCTCAGGTTACTGTACACATGCACCAACTGCCTGCTTCAGGTTTGGATGGAGCTTCATGGTTGTCTTTTGGAGAAATGACCAGTCAAGTTGTGTTTGAAATTTGATTTTTTTCAGGGGCAAAAGGAGCCTCTGCATTCTTGTCAAATATGTAAATAGCATGTTTTTGCAGGTGCTACAAACCAGACTCTGAGTGTGTGTGTGTGCGTGTGTGTGTGTCTGTGTGTGCGTTCAAGTCACATGACATATTTAACCGGATGTAGCTGCAAGACGGAGCCTCGTTGACTCTCCGTTTCAATTTATCTCAAAAGTGAGGACCTCAACCTATATACCAGTTTTTAAATTGTGTTGATAGGCCAAATAAAACCAGAGTTATGATAAATTATGTCCCCGATACTTGTTTTCTGCTTATTTTGATCACGTTCGGCGCTCGATCGCGCTGTATGAGACAGGAAAACATAGCATGCAGACATTAGCGACAGGTCTTACAGGCGGAAAAGGCTTGCCAAAGGAAAAAAAATACACACCACAACATCTCTCCTATTGGTGGAAAACTTCACCACAACAACCAATCCAAAATTATATGGTGACTGATTGACAAGGGGCGGGAACTTACGTTCTTCCTGCAATATGAGAAGGGAGGGAGGGACTCTCAGCAGGGATGCAGTCTGGGACACGTAGTTGCAAACCTAGCGACTTTGTTGTTAGATTCAATGACTTTTCAGACCCCCTAACGACTTTTTTTTAGAAAGAAAGTGACTTTTATCGACTTCTTCTGGAGTTTAGAGACTCTGACATGAAGCAGGCTTTCCTTACTGAGGAGTTAGCAACGCTGCTAAGGGTGCAGAGCCACACATGCGCTCCGAGCTCTGCATGGGAGACTGAAGCTGACAGAGCTGCAGCAGTTAGCAGGTTTCACCCTCAGAGACCACCAGGGGTTCATGTTGAGGCATTTTCAGTTTTTTTTTTTTTTTTTTGCCATAGACACTGTCAGCACAATCTGCAGTTACACTAACAAAAATGCTGCAAAAAACAAAGAATTATGGAAAAATTACACATGGACTAACATAGAGGAGGATCTACACAAGTTTTTTACATCATGTTTTACATCATGCATCATTTACATCATGTTTTTTTGTAGTGGCATAAATAAAAAGTGACATTTGTGAGACTATACAGTGTTTTGTAAATAATTTTACAAAGAACACCTGGGCCATTGCCTGCATTTTGATGTCAATAGAGGTAAATTACTATGTTCTTTGTTAAAAATTTGCATATGTTTTGAAGTTTACAATTTTTATTTGAAGTTTAAGTTTTAAAAACAGTTCATCACACATATTTGTGGTTTTCACAGTAAAAACGTTACTTTTTTCCACTCGGATTTTATGTTTTGTGTGTGAATTTGGGTCCAATGTGTAAATATAGTATGTCAAAATGGTAAAATAACTGTAAATTGACACAGGTGAGGTTGTGCTGAAAAAAATGATACCAGGCAAGGCACGTGATTGTCAAATTTTGTGTCAAAATGACAAAGCGTATAGGCGTGAATCTCAACAATATGTATTTTCACCTTAGGGGACAAGAAAAAATGGACTTTTTTCTCCTGCCATGGGGGGGCGCTCTTTTGGGGAGTAAAAATTCCTTCACAAATGTGTTGATGGCTGGACATTGCATCATCCTAGAAAACTTGGAGGCCAGTGAGGACAAAAATAAAAAGTTATAAGACTTTTAAAAATGTGGATTTTTGGGTTATCTTTGGCGCCCCCTAGAACGTAAACCGTGGGGTGCAGCGTCATGATTTGAATAACTTTTAATGGCCATGGGGTGTAGATTGGCCTGAGCAAATGTGGTGCCGGTGGAACGAAAGCCTTCGGAGGAGTTAGCGAAATTCCAATGTGTGCGGATCGGCAAAAAATGCGAAATAACCCTTTAACCGTACATTAGACAGATACGCGCGCATGGACTTTTTTGTAGATCTTATTGAGATACATGTGTGTGTCAATTTTTGTGTCATTTTGACAAAGCGTACAGGCGTGACAGTCAATAGTGTGAATTTTCACCTTAGGGGACAAGAAAAAATGGACTTTTTTCTCCTGCCATGGGGGGGCGCTCTTTTGGGGAGTAAAAATTCCTTCACAAATGTGTTGATGGCTGGACATTGCATCATCCTAGAAAACTTGGAGGCCAGTGAGGGCAAAAATAAAAAGTTATAAGACTTTTAAATATGTGGATTTTAGGGTTATCTTTGGCGCCCCCTAGAACCTAAACCGTGGGGTGCAGCGTCATGATTTGAATAACTTTTAATGGCCATGGGGTGTAGATTGGCCTGAGCAAATGTGGTGCCGGTGGAACGAAAGCCTTCGGAGGAGTTAGCGAAATTCCAATGTGTGCGGATCGGCAAAAAATGCGAAATAACCCTTTAACCGTACATTTGACAGATACGCCCGCACTGACTTTTTTGTAGATCTTATTGAGATACATATGTGTGTCAATTTTTGTGTCAATATGACAAAGCGTACAGGCGTGACAGTCAATAGTGTGAATTTCCACCTTAGGGGGCGCTATGGAGCCATTTTGCATTTTATTGTTTGGGCGACTTCAGAATATCGAATTTTTCACCAGGCCCGGTCGTCCTGCCAAATTTCATGAGTTTTCGCCAGTGGGAAGTGGGCCATTTTCCAGTTCAAAGGGGAGGAAAAAGAAGAAAGAAAGAAAGAAAGAAACAAAGACTAGGGCCCCGTTGGGGCACTGGCGGGCCCGAGCCGTGTCGCGCTGCCCCCCCCAACGCGCTGCCTCCCCGTCCCATTCGCGTCCTCTGGCCATCGCCCTCTCTGGTAACGCCCATCACTGCAAAGACCCTTTCCTTCATCGGCGTTTGCTGTTCTTCCTGCCAGTGCGTGTTGCTTTCACTTACACTTGCCACAGCCAGCCTCGTGAGTGCCTAGCCTATTGGATATCACTGTCATCTACACAGGACAGTCATAACCTTTCTATTAATACTTGTTTTTTAATTTCACATTAATTTCAATATTGTATAAATGACTGGAAAAAACTTGAGCCCCTGCCCCTGTATAATCATGTGCACGTCCCTGTTCTAGCTCCAAGGTGAATCTTCACTGCTCATGTTCTCCTCAGAAGTAGTCACCTCACTCCCCTCAGGTGACTGTACACATGCACCAACTGCCTGCTTCAGGTTTGGATGGAGCTTCATGGTTGTCTTTTGGAGAAATGAGCAGTCAAGTTGTGTTTGAAATTTGATTTTTTTCAGGGGCAAAAAGGGGCCTCTGCATTCTAGTCAAATATGTAAATAGCATGTTTTTGCAGGTGCTAAAAAAAAGACTCTGAGTGTGTGTGTGTGTATATCCTGCAGTACTCTGAGAAGAATAATAAGCATATTTCTGAGGTGAATTTTGAAGATTCTTCTGAGAGTTAGGAGGGCTGATCATTCCCTTTCCCTTTAGATGTCTGTCTATGTCTGTTTTTGTGTGATAATGAAAGAATCCCAACTCAAAAAGGCTCTGTTGATGTTTTTTTTTTGTTGTTGTTCATTCATATTCAAACCACTATTTTATATCACTGCTAATACGCCAAGACCATTTTATGGAATTTAGCTTTATTATTTCTATACATTTTGCAAGGAAAGAAACCAAGGCCTTCACTAAAATTTCCATAAACTTTAGAAAAGGACCTCTGGTTGTTTAACGGGGTCATTACTGCAAAAACATATTCTTCCTAAATTTTGAAGGTCAAACCTTAGATCCATTAGGTTTAAATAGAAAAAGCATTAAAATATGTTAGGATTATAGCATATGACAAATATGTGCCTTTCAGTGGCCACAACTACTTTGTCTGCTGGCTCTGCAGTCGATTGACGCTCCCCAGCGTTCAAGTCACATTACATATTTAACCGGATGTAGCAGCAAGACGGAGCCTCGTTGACTCTCCGTTTCAACTTATCTCAAAAGTGAGGACCTCAAACTATACACCAGTTTTCAAATTGTGTTGATAGGCCAAATAAAACCAGAGTTATGATAAATTATGTCCACGATACTTTTTTTCTGCCTATTTTGATCACGTTCGGCGCTCGATCGCGCTGTATGAGACAGGAAAACATAGCATGCAGACATTAGAGACAGGTCTTACAGGCGGAAAAGGCTTGCCAAAGAAAAAAAAAACACACCACAACATCTCTCCTATTGGTGGAAAACTTCACCACAACAACCAATCCAAAATTATATGGTGACTGATTGACAAGGGGCGGGCGCTTACGTTCTTCCTGCAACATGAGAAGGGAGGGAGGAACTCTCAGCAGGGATGCAGTCTGGGACACGTAGTTGCAAACCTAGCGACTTTGTTGTTAGATTCAATGACTTTTCAGACCCCCTAACGACTTTTTTTTTAGAAAGAAAGGGACTTTTATCGACTTCTTCTGGAGTTTAGAGACTCTGACATGAAGCAGGCTTTCCTTACTGAGGAGTTAGCAACGCTGCTAAGGGTGCAGAGCCACACATGCGCTCCGAGCTCTGCATGGGAGACTAAAGCTGACAAAGCTGCAGCAGTTAGCAGGTTTCACCCTCAGAGACCACCAGGGGTTCATGTTGAGGCATTTTCAGTTTTTTTTTTTTTTTTTGCCATAGACACTGTCAGCACAATCTGCAGTTACACTAACAAAAATGCTGCAAAAAACAAAGAATTATGGAAAAATTACACATGGACTGACATAGAGGAGGATCCACACAAGTTTTTTACATCATGTTTTACATCATGCATCATTTACATCATGTTTTTTTGTAGTGGCATAAATAAAAAGTGACATTTGTGAGACTATACAGTGTTTTGTAAATAATTTTACAAAGAACGCCTGGGCCATTGCCTGCATTTTGATGTAAATAGAGGTAAATTACTATGTTCTTTGTTAAAAATTTGCATGTGTTTTGAAGTTTACAATTTTTATTTGAAGTTTAAGTTTTAAAAACAGTTCATCACACATATTTGTGGTTTAATTTCACATTAATTTCCATATTGTATAAATGACTGGAAAAAACTTGAGCCCCTGCCCCTGTATAATCATGTGCACGTCCCTGTTCTAGCTCCAAGGTGAATCTTCACTGCTCATGTTCTCCTCAGAAATAGTCACCTCACTCCCCTCAGGTTACTGTACACATGCACCAACTATCTGCTTCAGGTTTGGATGGAGCTTCATGGTTGTCTTTTGGAGAAATGAACAGTCAAGTTGTGTTTGAAATTTGATTTTTTTCAGGGGCAAAAGGAAGCCTCTGCATTCTTGTCAAATATGTAAACAGCATGTTTTTGCAGGTGCTAAAAAACAGACTCTGAGTGTGTGTGTGTGTGTGTGTGTGTGTGTGTGTGTGTGTGTGTGTGTGTGTGTGTGTGTGTGTGTATGTTGGCGTGTGTGTATATGTGTGTGTATCCTGCAGTACTCTGTACTCCTGCAGTGGCCAAAAAGACTTTTAAGAATGTGGATTTTTGGGTCATCTTTGGCGCCCCCTAGAACTGCAGTACTCTGTACTCCTGCAGTGGCCAAAATGACTTTTAAGAATGTGGATTTTTGGGTCATCTTTGGCGCCCCCTAGAACGTAAACCGTGGGGTGCAGCGTCATGATTTTTACAACTTTGAATGGGCATGGGGTGTAGATTGCCCTGAGCAAATTTGGTATCGGTGGGACGAAAGCCTTAGGAGGAGATAGCCACATTCCAATGTGTGCGAATCGGCAAAAAATGCAAAATAGCCCTTTAACCGTACATTATACAGATACGCGCTCTTTGACTTTTTCGTAGATCTAATTGAGATACACATGATTGTCAATTTTTGTGTCAATATGACAAAGCGTTCAGGCGTGACACTCAACAATGTGTATTTTCATGTAAGGGGACAAGAAAAAATTGACTTTTTTCTCCTACCATGGGGGGGGCGCTCTTTTGGGGAGTAAAAATTCCTTCACAAATGTGTTGATGGCTGGACATTGCATCATCCTAGAAAACTTGGAGGCCAGTGAGGACAAAAAAAAAAAAGTTATAAAACATTTAAGAATGTGGATTTTTGGGTTATTTTTGGCGCCCCCTAGAACCTAAACCATGGGGTGCAGCATCATGATTTGAATAACTTTTAATGGCCATGGGGTGTAGATTGGCCTGAGCAAATGTGGTGCCGGTGGAACGAAAGCCTTCGGAGGAGTTAGCGAAATTCCAATGTGTGCGTATCGGCAAAAAAGGGGAATAACCCTTTAACCGTACATTTGACAGATACGCGCGCATGGACTTTTTTGTAGATCTTATTGAGATACATGTGTGTGTCAATTTTTGTGTCATTTTGCCAAAGCGTACAGGCGTGACACTCTACAATGTGTATTTTCACCTTAGGGGACAAGAAAAAATTGACTTTTTTCTCCTGCCATGGGGGGCGCTCTTTTGGCGAGTAAAAATTCCTTCACAGATGTGTTGATGGCTGGACATTGCATCATCCTAGAAAACTTGGAGGCCAGTGAGGACAAAAATAAAAAGTTATAAGACTTTTAAATATGTGGATTTTAGGGTTATTTTTGGCGCCCCCTAGAACCTAAACCGTGGGGTGCAGCGTCATGATTTGAATAACTTTTAATGGCCATGGGGTGTAGATTGGCCTGAGCAAATGTGGTGCCGGTGGAACAAAAGCCTTCGGAGGAGTTAGCGAAATTCCAATGTGTGCGGATCGGCAAAAAATGCGGAATAACCCTTTAACCGTACATTTGACAGATACGCCCGCACTGACTTTTTTGTAGATCTTATTGAGATACATATGTGTGTCAATTTTTGTGTCAATATGACAAAGCGTACAGGCGTGACAGTCAATAGTGTGAATTTCCACCTTAGGGGGCGCTATGGAGCCATTTTGCATTTTATTGTTTGGGCGACTTCAGAATATCGAATTTTTCACCAGGCCCGGTCGTCCTGCCAAATTTCATGAGTTTTCGCCAGTGGGAAGTGGGCCATTTTCCAGTTCAAAGGGGAGGAAAAAGAAGAAAGAAAGAAAGAAAGAAAGAAAGAAAGAAAGAAACAAAGAAAAACCACTTGGGGAATAATAGGGCCTACGCCCGGCTGCTCTGCAGCTGGCTCGGGCCCTAAAAAACCACTTGGGGAATAATAGGGCCTACGCCCGGCTGCTCTGCAGCTGGCTCGGGCCCTAACTAGGACCCCGTTGGGGCACTGGCGGGCCCGAGCTGTGTCGCGTCCCCCCCCCCAACGCGCTGCCTCCCCGTCCTATTCGCGTCCTCTGGCCATCGCCCTCTCTGGTAACGCCCATCACTGCAAAGACCCTTTTCCTTCATCGGCGTTTGCTGTTCTTCCTGCCAGTGCATGTTGCTTTCACTTACACTTGCCACAGCCAGCCTCGTGAGTGCCTAGCCTATTGGATATCACTGTCACCTACACAGGACATTCATTACCTTTCTATTAATACTTTGTTTTTTAATTTCACATTAATTTCCATATTGTATAAACAACTGGAAAAAACTTGAGCCCCTGCCCCTGTATAATCATGTGCACGTCTCTGTTCTAGCTCTAAGGTGAATCTTCACTGCTCATGTTCTCCTCAGAAGCAGTCACCTCACTCCCCTCAGGTTACTGTACACATGCACCAACTGCCTGCTTCAGGTTTGGATGGAGCTTCATGGTTGTCTTTTGGAGAAATGACCAGTCAAGTTGTGTTTGAAATTTGATTTTTTTCAGGGGCAAAAGGAGCCTCTGCATTCTTGTCAAATATGTAAATAGCATGTTTTTGCAGGTGCTAAAAACCAGACTCTGAGTGTGTGTGTGTGCGTGTGCGTGTGTGTGTGTGTGTGTGTGTGTGTGTGTGTGTGTGTGTGTGTGTGTGTGCGTTCAAGTCACATGACATATTTAACCGGATGTAGCTGCAAGACGGAGCCTCGTTGACTCTCCGTTTCAACTTATCTCAAAAGTGAGGACCTCAACCTATATACCAGTTTTTAAATTGTGTTGATAGGCCAAATAAAACCAGAGTTATGATAAATTATGTCTGCGATACTTTTTTCTGCTTATTTTGATCACGTTCGGCGCTCGATCGCGCTGTATGAGACAGGAAAACATAGCATGCAGACATTAGCGACAGGTCTTACAGGCGGAAAAGGCTTGCCAAAGGAAAAAAAAAACACACCACAACATCTCTCCTATTGGTGGAAAACTTCACCACAACAACCAATCCAAAATTATATGGTGACTGATTGACAAGGGGCGGGCGCTTACGTTCTTCCTGCAATATGAGAAGGGAGGGAGGGACTCTCAGCAGGGATGCAGTCTGGGACACGTAGTTGCAAACCTAGCGACTTTGTTGTTAGATTCAATGACTTTTCAGACCCCCTAACGACTTTTTTTTAGAAAGAAAGGGACTTTTATCGACTTCTTCTGGAGTTTAGAGACTCTGACATGAAGCAGGCTTTCCTTACTGAGGAGTTAGCAACGCTGCTAAGGGTGCAGAGCCACACATGCGCTCCGAGCTCTGCATGGGAGACTGAAGCTGACAGAGCTGCAGCAGTTAGCAGGTTTCACCCTCAGAGACCACCAGGGGTTCATGTTGAGGCATTTTCATTTTTTATTTTTTTTTTTTTGCCATAGACACTGTCAGCACAATCTGCAGTTACACTAACAAAAATTCTGCAAAAAACAAAGAATTATGGAAAAATTACACATGGACTAACATAGAGGAGGATCTACACAAGTTTTTTACATCATGTTTTACATCATGCATCATTTACATCATGTTTTTTTGTAGTGGCATAAATAAAAAGTGACATTTGTGAGACTATACAGTGTTTTGTAAATAATTTTACAAAGAACACCTGGGCCATTGCCTGCATTTTGATGTAAATAGAGGTAAATTACTATGTTCTTTGTTAAAAATTTGCATATGTTTTGAAGTTTACAATTTTTATTTGAAGTTTAAGTTTTAAAAACAGTTCATCACACATATTTGTGGTTTTCACAGTAAAAACGTTACTTTTTTCCACTCGGATTTTATGTTTTGTGTGTGAATTTGGGTCCAATGTGTAAATATAGTATGTCAAAATGATAAAATAACTGTAAATTGACACAGGTGAGGTTGTGCTGAAAAAAATGATACCAGGCAAGGCAAGGTAAAAATTTTGTAAGAGGAAATATAAAGGTAAAATCTAAAGTAGTCAAAAACGGCCAATAGTGACTCACAGACTCCACAGACAGAGCACAGACAGTCCCCTTTGGCGCCACTCAGTGGGCAAAACTACTTTGTCTACTGTAATGTATATTTGGGTCATCTTTGGCGCCCCCTAAAACGTAAACCGTGGGGTGCAGCGTCATGATTTTTACAACTTTGAATGGCCATGGAGTGTAGATTGGCCTGAGCAAATTTGGTGTCAGTGGGACGAAAGCCTTAGGAGGAGTTAGCGAAATTCCAATGTGTGCGAATCGGCAAAAAATGCAAAATAGCCCTTTTACCGTACATTATACAGATACGCGCTCTTTGACTTTTTCGTAGATCTAATTGAGATACACATGATTGTCAATTTTTGTGTCATTTTGCCAAAGCGTACAGGCGTGACAGTCAACAATGTGTATTTTCACCTTAGGGGACAAGAAAAAATGGAATTTTTTCTCCTGCCATGGGGGGCGCTCTTTTAGGGAGTAAAAATTCCTTCACAAATGTGTTGATGGCTGGACATTGCATCATCCTAGAAAACTTGGAGGCCAGTGAGGACAAAAATAAAAAGTTATAAGACTTTTAAAAATGTGGATTTTTGGGTTATCTTTGGCGCCCCCTAGAACGTAAACCGTGGGGTGCAGCGTCATGATTTGAATAACTTTTAATGGCCATGGGGTGTAGATTGGCCTGAGCAAATGTGGTGCCGGTGGAACGAAAGCCTTCGGAGGAGTTAGCGAAATTCCAATGTGTGCGAATCGGCAAAAAATGCGGAATAACCCTTTAACCGTACATTTGACAGATACGCGCGCATGGACTTTTTTGTAGATCTTATTGAGATACATGTGTGTGTCAATTTTTGTGTCATTTTGACAAAGCGTACAGGCGTGACACTCAACAATGTGTATTTTCACCTTAGGGGACAAGAAAAAATGGAATTTTTTCTCCTGCCATGGGGGGGCGCTCTTTTGGGGAGTAAAAATTCCTTCACAAATGTGTTGATGGCTGGACATTGCATCATCCTAGAAAACTTGGAGGCCAGTGAGGGCAAAAATAAAAAGTTATAAGACTTTTGAATATGTGGATTTTAGTGTTATCTTTGGCGCCCCCTAGAACCTAAACCGTGGGGTGCAGCGTCATGATTTGAATAACTTTTAATGGCCATGGGGTGTAGATTGGCCTGAGCAAATGTGGTGCCGGTGGAACGAAAGCCTTCGGAGGAGTTAGCGAAATTCCAATGTGTGCAGATCTGCAAAAAATGCAAAATAACCCATTAACCGTACATTTGACAGATACGCCTGCACTGACTTTTTTGTAGATCTTATTGAGATACATGTGTGTGTCAATTTTTGTGTCAATATGACAAAGCGTACAGCCGTCATGTGAATTTTCACCTTAGGGGGCGCTATGGAGCCATTTTGCATTTTATTGTTTGGGCGACTTCGGAATATCAAATTTTTCACCAGGCCCGGTCGTCCTGCCAAATTTCATGAGTTTTCGCCAGTGGGAAGTGGGCCATTTTCCAGTTCAAAGGGGAGGAAAAAGAAAAAAGAAACAAAGAAAAACCACTTGGGGAATAATAGGGCTCTCGCAGCTGCTTAGCAGCTACGCTCGGGCCCTAATAACAAAAGAAGGAAACTACAGGAACAAGAGGGCTCTCGCAGCTGCTTAGCAGCTACGCTCGGGCCCTAACTAGGACCCCGTTGGGGCACTGGCGGGCCCGAGCTGTGTCGCGCCCCCCCCCCCAACGCGCTGCCTCCCCGTCCCATTTGTGTCCTCTGGCCATCGCCCTCTCTGGTAACGCCCATCACTGCAAAGACCCTTTTCCTTCATCGGCGTTTGCTGTTCTTCCTGCCAGTGCGTGTTGCTTTCACTTACACTTGCCACAGCCAGCCTCGTGAGTGCCTAGCCTATTGGATATCACTGTCACCTACACAGGACAGTCATTACCTTTCTATTAATACTTTGTTTTTTAATTTCACATTAATTTCCATATTGTATAAACAACTGGAAAAAACTTGAGCCCCTGCCCCTGTATAATCATGTGCACGTCTCTGTTCTAGCTCTAAGGTGAATCTTCACTGCTCATGTTCTCCTCAGAAGCAGTCACCTCACTCCCCTCAGGTTACTGTACACATGCACCAACTGCCTGCTTCAGGTTTGGATGGAGCTTCATGGTTGTCTTTTGGAGAAATGACCAGTCAAGTTGTGTTTGAAATTTGATTTTTTTCAGGGGCAAAAGGAGCCTCTGCATTCTTGTCAAATATGTAAATAGCATGTTTTTGCAGGTGCTAAAAACCAGACTCTGAGTGTGTGTGTGTGCGTGTGTGTGTGTGTCTGTGTGTGTGTGTGTGTGTGTGTGTGTGTGTGTGTGTGTGTGTGTGCGTTCAAGTCACATGACATATTTAACCGGATGTAGCTGCAAGACGGAGCCTCGTTGACTCTCCGTTTCAACTTATCTCAAAAGTGAGGACCTCAACCTATATACCAGTTTTTAAATTGTGTTGATAGGCCAAATAAAACCAGAGTTATGATAAATTATGTCCGCGATACTTGTTTTCTGCTTATTTTGATCACGTTCGGCGCTCGATCGCGCTGTATGAGACAGGAAAACATAGCATGCAGACATTAGCGACAGGTCTTACAGGCGGAAAAGGCTTGCCAAAGGAAAAAAAACACACCACGACATCTCTCCTATTGGTGGAAAACTTCACCACAACAACCAATCCAAAATTATATGGTGACTGATTGACAAGGGGCGGGCGCTTACGTTCTTCCTGCAATATGAGAAGGGAGGGAGGGACTCTCAGCAGGGATGCAGTCTGGGACACGTAGTTGCAAACCTAGCGACTTTGTTGTTAGATTCAATGACTTTTCAGACCCCCTAACAACGTTTTTTTAGAAAGAAAGTGACTTTTATCGACTTCTTCTGGAGTTTAGAGACTCTGACATGAAGCAGGCTTTCCTTACTGAGGAGTTAGCAACGCTGCTAAGGGTGCAGAGCCACACATGCGCTCTGAGCTCTGCATGGGAGACTGAAGCTGACAGAGCTGCAGCAGTTAGCAGGTTTCACCCTCAGAGACCACCAGGGGTTCATGTTGAGGCATTTTCAGTTTTTTTTTTTTTTTTGCCATAGACACTGTCAGCACAATCTGCAGTTACACTAACAAAAATGCTGCAAAAAACAAAGAATTATGGAAAAATTACACATGGACTGACATAGAGGAGGATCTACACAAGTTTTTTACATCATGTTTTACATCATGCATCATTTACATCATGTTTTTTTGTAGTGGCATAAATAAAAAGTGACATTTGTGAGACTATACAGTGTTTTGTAAATAATTTTAAAAAGAACACCTGGGCCATTGCCTGCATTTTGATGTAAATAGAGGTAAATTACTATGTTCTTTGTTAAAAATTTGCATATGTTTTGAAGTTTACAATTTTTATTTGAAGTTTAAGTTTTAAAAACAGTTCATCACACATATTTGTGGTTTTCACAGTAAAAACGTTACTTTTTTCCACTCGGATTTTATGTTTTGTGTGTGAATTTGGGTCCAATGTGTAAATATAGTATGTCAAAATGATAAAATAACTGTAAATTGACACAGGTGAGGTTGTGCTGAAAAAAATGATACCAGGCAAGGCAAGGTAAAAATTTTGTAAGAGGAAATATAAAGGTAAAATCTAAAGTAGTCAAAAACGGCCAATAGTGACTCACAGACTCCACAGACAAGTCCCTTTGGCGCCACTCAGTGGGCAAAACTACTTTGTCTACTGTAATGTATATTTGGGTCATCTTTGGCGCCCCCTAAAACGTAAACCGTGGGGTGCCGCGTCATGATTTTTACAACTTTGAATGGCCATGGAGTGTAGATTGGCCTGAGCAAATTTGGTGTCAGTGGGACGAAAGCCTTAGGAGGAGTTAGCGAAATTCCAATATGTGCGAATCGGCAAAAAATGCAAAATAGCCCTTTTACCGTACATTATACAGATACGCGCTCTTGACTTTTTCGTAGATCTAATTGAGATACACATGATTGTCAATTTTTGTGTCATTTTGCCAAAGCGTACAGGCGTGACAGTCAACAATGTGTATTTTCACCTTAGGGGACAAGAAAAAATGGACTTTTTTCTCCTGCCATGGGGGGGGCGCTCTTTTAGGGAGTAAAAATTCCTTCACAAATGTGTTGATGGCTGGACATTGCATCATCCTAGAAAACTTGGAGGCCAGTGAGGACAAAAATAAAAAGTTAAAAGACTTTTAAAAATGTGGATTTTTGGGTTATCTTTGGCGCCCCCTAGAACGTAAACCGTGGGGTGCAGCGTCATGATTTGAATAACTTTTAATGGCCATGGGGTGTAATTTGGCCTGAGCAAATGTGGTGCCGGTGGAACGAAAGCCTTCGGAGGAGTTAGCGAAATTCCAATGTGTGCGAATCGGCAAAAAATGCGGAATAACCCTTTAACCGTACATTTGACAGATACGCGCCCATTGACTCTTTTGTAGATCTTATTGAGATACATGTGTGTGTCAATTTTTGTGTCATTTTGACAAAGCGTACAGGCGTGACACTCAACAATGTGTATTTTCACCTTAGGGGACAAGAAAAAATGGACTTTTTTCTCCTGCCATGGGGGGGCGCTCTTTTGGGGAGTAAAAATTCCTTCACAAATGTGTTGATGGCTGGACATTGCATCATCCTAGAAAACTTGGAGGCCAGTGAGGACAAAAATAAAAAGTTATAAGACTTTGAAATATGTGGATTTTAGTGCTATCTTTGGCGCCCCCTAGAACCTAAACCGTGGGGTGCAGCGTCATGATTTGAATAACTTTTAATGGCCATGGGGTGTAGATTGGCCTGAGCAAATGTGGTGCCGGTGGAACGAAAGCCTTCGGAGGAGTTAGCGAAATTCCAATGTGTGCGGATCGGCAAAAAATGCGAAATAACCCTTTAACCGTACATTTGACAGATACGCCCGCACTGACTTTTTTGTAGATCTTATTGAGATACATGTGTGTGTCAATTTTTGTGTCATTTTGACAAAGCGTACAGGCGTCAGGTGAATTTTTCACCTTAGGGGGCGCTATGGAGCCATTTTGCATTTTCTTGTTTGGGCGACTTCGGAATATCAAATTTTTCACCAGGCCCGGTCGTCCTGCCAAATTTCATGAGTTTTCGCCAGTGGGAAGTGGGCCATTTTCCAGTTCAAAGGGGAGGAAAAATAACTAGGGCCCCGGTGGGGCACTGTCGGGCCCGAGCCGCGTTGCGCCGCCCCCAGCGCGACCGCCTCCCCCTCCCGATCGCGTCACACTCAAGGTCCAAAGATGGTGTGCGCACTTGTCTGTGGTCATTTCCCATTATAATGAATGGGAGGCGCAGTTTCTACCAAAACACTCGCTGCAGACAAACTACATGTCCTATTTGAAAAAAGTCTGGACCATGAGTGAGGGCACAAACACAGCTAGGATATATCCAAACGGCAAGTTGCTCCTCGTTACGGTGTTGCCGGGAGAGTGATGCGATTGAGCCATTGAGTGATGGGCAGGAAAAACTTGACTGTTTCTCCTGCCATGGGGGTTGGGGGATGGGGGATGTGGATTCTTTTAAGAATGTGGATATTTGGGTAATCTTTGGCGCCCCCTAGAACATAAACCGTGGGGTGCAGCGTCATGATTTTTAAAACTTTGAATGGCCATGGGGTGTAGATTGGCCTGAGCAAATTTGGTGTCAGTGGGACGAAAGCCTTAGGAGGAGTTAGCCACATTCGAATGTGTGCGAATCGGCAAAAAATGCAAAATAGCCCTTTAACCGTACATTTTACAGATACGCGCGCATTGACTTTTTCGTAGATCTTATTGAGATACATGTGATTGTCAAATTTTGTGTCAATATGACAAAGCGTACAGGTATGACAGTCAACAATGTGTTTTTTCATCTTATGGGACAAGAAAAAATGGACTTTTTTCTCCTGCCATGGGGGGGCGCTCTTTTGGGGATTAAAAATTCCTTCACAAATGTGTTGATGGCTGGACATTGCATCATCCTAGAAAACTTGGAGGCCAGTGAGGGCAAAAATAAAAAGTTATAAGACTTTTAAATATGTGGATTTTTGGGTTATCTTTGGCGCCCCCTAGAACCTAAACCGTGGGGTGCAGCGTCATGATTTGAATAACTTTTAATGGCCATGGGGTGTAATTTGGCCTGAGCAAATGTGGTGCCGGTGGAACGAAAGCCTTCGGAGGAGTTAGCGAAATTCCAATGTGTGCGAATCGGCAAAAAATGCGAAATAACCCTTTAACCGTACATTTGACAGATACGCGCGCATTGACTTTTTCGTAGATCTTATTGAGATACATGTGTGTGTCAATTTTTGTGTCATTTTGACAAAGCGTACAGGCGTGACACTCAACAATGTGTATTTTCACCTTAGGGGACAAGAAAAAATGGACTTTTTTCTCCTGCCATGGGGGGGCGCTCTTTTGGGGAGTAAAAATTCCTTCACAAATGTGTTGATGGCTGGACATTGCATCATCCTAGAAAACTTGGAGGCCAGTGAGGGCAAAAATAAAAAGTTATAAGACTTTTAAATATGTGGATTTTAGGGTTATCTTTGGCGCCCCCTAGAACGTAAACCGTGGGGTGCAGCGTCATGATTTGAATAACTTTTAATGGCCATGGGGTGTAGATTGGCCTGAGCAAATGTGGTGCCGGTGGAACGAAAGCCTTCGGAGGAGTTAGCGAAATTCCAATGTGTGCGGATCGGCAAAAAATGCGAAATAACCCTTTATCCGTACATTTTACAGATACGCCCGCACTGACTTTTTTGTAGATCTTATTGAGATACATGTGTGTGTCAAATTTTGTGTCAATATGACAAAGCGTACAGGCGTGACAGTCAATAGTGTGAATTTTCACCTTAGGGGGCGCTATGGAGCCATTTTGCATTTTATTGTTTGGGCGACTTCAGAATATCAAATTTTTCACCAGGCCCGGTCGTCCTGCCAAATTTCATGAGTTTTCGCCAGTGGGAAGTGGGCCATTTTCCAGTTCAAAGGGGAGGAAAAATAACTAGGGCCCCGGTGGGGCACTGTCGGGCCCGAGCTGCGTCGCGCCGCCCCCAGCGCGACCGCCTCCCCCTCCCGATCGCATCACACTCAAGGTCCAAAGATGGTGTGCGCACTTGTCTGTGGTCATTTCCCATTATAATGAATGGGAGGCGCAGTTTCTACCAAAACGGTCGCTGCAGACAAACTACATGTCCTATTTGAAAAAAGTCTGGACCATGAGTGAGGGCACAAACACAGCTAGGATATATCCAAATGGCAAGTTGCTCCTCCTTACGGTGTTGCCTGGCGTGCGATGCGATTGAGCCTTTGAGCGATGGGCAGGGTTAACTGGACTTTTTCTCCTGCCTTGGGGGGGGGGGGGATGTGGATTCTTTTAAGAATGTGGATATTTGGGTCATCTTTGGCGCCCCCTAGAACGTAAACCATGGGGTGCAGCGGCATGATTTTTACAACTTTGAATGGCCATGGGATGTAGATCGGCTTGAGCAAATTTGGTGTCGGTGGGAAGAAAGCCTTAGGAGGAGTTAGCCACATTCCAATGTGTGCAGATCTGCAAAAAATGCGAAATAGCCCTTTAACCGTACATTTTACAGATACGTGCCCATTGACTTTTTCGTAGATCTTATTGAGATACACGTGTGTGTCAAATTTTGTGTCATTTTGACAAAGCGTATAGGCGTGACAGTCAACAATGTGTTTTTTCACCTTAGGGGACAAGAAAAAATGGACTTTTTTTCTCCTGCCATGGGGGGGCGCTCTTTTCGGGAGTAAAAATTCCTTTACAAATGTGTTGATGGCTGGACATTGCATCATCCTAGAAAACTTGGAGGCCAGTGAGGACAAAAATAAAAAGTTATAAGACTATTAAGAATGTGGATTTTTGGGTTATCTTTGGCGCCCCCTAGAACCTAAACCGTGGAGTGCAACGTCATGATTTGTACAACTTTTAATGGCCATGGGGTGTAGATTGGCCTGAGCAAATTTGGTGGCGGTGGAACTAAAGCCTTCGGAGGAGTTAGTGAAATTCCAATGTGTGCGGATCGGGAAAAAATGCGAAATAACCCTTTAACCGTACATTTTACAGATACGTGCCCATTGACTTTTTCGTAGATCTTATTGAGATACACGTGATTGTCAAATTTTGTGTCAATATGACAAAGCGTATAGGCGTGACACTCAACAATGTGTATTTTCACCTTAGGGGACAAGAAAAAATGGACTTTTTTCTCCTGCCATGTGGGGGCGCTCTTTTGGGGAGTAAAAATTCCTTCACAAATGTGTTGATGGCTGGACATTGCATCATCCTAGAAAACTTGGAGGCCAGTGAGGACAAAAATAAAAAGTTATAAGACTTTTAAAAATGTGGATATTTGGGTCCTCTTTGGCGCCCCCTAGAACGTAAACTGTGGGGTGCAGCGTCATGATTTGTACAATTTTGAATGGCCATGGGGTGTAGATTGACCTGAGCAAATTTGAAGCCGATGGGACAAAAGATTTAGGAGGAGTTAGCGAAATTCCAATGTGTGCGGATCGGCAAAAAATGCGAAATAACCCTTTAACCGTACATTTGACAGATACTTCCGCACTGACTTTTTTGTAGATCTTATTTAGATACATGTGTGTGTCAAATTTTGTGTCATTTTGACAAAGCGTAAAGGCGTGACAGTCAACAATGTGTATTTTCGCCTTAGGAGACAAGAAAAAATGGACTTTTTTCTCCTGCCATGGGGGGGGCGCTCTTTTGGCGAGTAAAAATTCCTTCACAAATGTGTTGATGGCTGGACATTGCATCATCCTAGAGAACTTGGAGGCCAGTGAGGACAAAAATAAAAAGTTATAAGACTTTTAAGACTGTGGATTTTTGGGTTATCTTTGGCGCCCCCTAGAACGTAAACCGTGGGGTGCAGTGTCATGATTTGTACAACTTTTAATGGCCATGGGGTGTAGATTGGCCTCAGCAAATGTGGTGCCTTTGGAACGAAAGCCTTCGGAGGAGTTAGCGAAATTCCAATGTGTGCGGATCGGCAAAAAATGCGAAATAGCCCTTTCACCGTACATTTGACAGATACGCCCGCACTGACTTTTTTGTAGATCTTATTGAGATACATGTGTGTGTCAATTTTTGTGTCAATATGACAAAGCGTAAAGGCGTGACAGTCAATAGTGTGAATTTTCGCCTTAGGAGACAAGAAAAAATGGACTTTTTTCTCCTGCCATGGGGGGGCGCTCTTTTGGGGAGTAAAAATTCCTTCACAAATGTGTTGATGGCTGGACATTGCATCATCCTAGAAAACTTGGAGGCCAGTGAGGACAAAAATAAAAAGTTATACGACTTTTAAGAATGTGGATTTCTGGGTTATCTTTGGCGCCCCCTAGAACCTAAACCGTGGGGTGCAGCGTCATGATTTGAATAACTTTTAATGGCCATGGGGTGTAGATTGGCCTGAGCAAATGTGGTGCCGGTGGAACGAAAGCCTTCGGAGGAGTTAGCGAAATTCCAATGTGTGCGGATCGGCAAAAAATGCGAAATAACCCTTTATCCGTACATTTTACAGATACGCCCGCACTGACTTTTTTGTAGATCTTATTGAGATACATGTGTGTGTCAAATTTTGTGTCAATATGACAAAGCGTACAGGCGTGACAGTCAATAGTGTGAATTTTCACCTTAGGGGGCGCTATGGAGCCATTTTGCATTTTATTGTTTGGGCGACTTCAGAATATCAAATTTTTCACCAGGCCCGGTCGTCCTGCCAAATTTCATGAGTTTTCGCCAGTGGGAAGTGGGCCATTTTCCAGTTCAAAGGGGAGGAAAAATAACTAGGGCCCCGGTGGGGCACTGTCGGGCCCGAGCTGCGTCGCGCCGCCCCCAGCGCGACCGCCTCCCCCTCCCGATCGCATCACACTCAAGGTCCAAAGATGGTGTGCGCACTTGTCTGTGGTCATTTCCCATTATAATGAATGGGAGGCGCAGTTTCTACCAAAACGGTCGCTGCAGACAAACTACATGTCCTATTTGAAAAAAGTCTGGACCATGAGTGAGGGCACAAACACAGCTAGGATATATCCAAATGGCAAGTTGCTCCTCCTTACGGTGTTGCCAGGAGAGCGATGCGATTGAGCCATTGAGCGATGGGCAGGGTTAACTGGACTTTTTCTCCTGCCTTGGGGGGGGGGGGGGGGATGTGGATTCTTTTAAGAATGTGGATATTTGGGTCATCTTTGGCGCCCCCTAGAACGTAAACCATGGGGTGCAGCGGCATGATTTTTACAACTTTGAATGGCCATGGGATGTAGATCGGCTTGAGCAAATTTGGTGTCGGTGGGAAGAAAGCCTTAGGAGGAGTTAGCCACATTCCAATGTGTGCAGATCTGCAAAAAATGCGAAATAGCCCTTTAACCGTACATTTTACAGATACGTGCCCATTGACTTTTTCGTAGATCTTATTGAGATACACGTGTGTGTCAAATTTTGTGTCATTTTGACAAAGCGTATAGGCGTGACAGTCAACAATGTGTTTTTTCACCTTAGGGGACAAGAAAAAATGGACTTTTTTCTCCTGCCATGGGGGGGCGCTCTTTTCGGGAGTAAAAATTCCTTTACAAATGTGTTGATGGCTGGACATTGCATCATCCTAGAAAACTTGGAGGCCAGTGAGGACAAAAATAAAAAGTTATAAGACTATTAAGAATGTGGATTTTTGGGTTATCTTTGGCGCCCCCTAGAACCTAAACCGTGGAGTGCAACGTCATGATTTGTACAACTTTTAATGGCCATGGGGTGTAGATTGGCCTGAGCAAATTTGGTGGCGGTGGAACTAAAGCCTTCGGAGGAGTTAGTGAAATTCCAATGTGTGCGGATCGGGAAAAAATGCGAAATAACCCTTTAACCGTACATTTTACAGATACGTGCCCATTGACTTTTTCGTAGATCTTATTGAGATACACGTGATTGTCAAATTTTGTGTCAATATGACAAAGCGTATAGGCGTGACACTCAACAATGTGTATTTTCACCTTAGGGGACAAGAAAAAATGGACTTTTTTCTCCTGCCATGTGGGGGCGCTCTTTTGGGGAGTAAAAATTCCTTCACAAATGTGTTGATGGCTGGACATTGCATCATCCTAGAAAACTTGGAGGCCAGTGAGGACAAAAATAAAAAGTTATAAGACTTTTAAAAATGTGGATATTTGGGTCCTCTTTGGCGCCCCCTAGAACGTAAACTGTGGGGTGCAGCGTCATGATTTGTACAATTTTGAATGGCCATGGGGTGTAGATTGACCTGAGCAAATTTGAAGCCGATGGGACAAAAGATTTAGGAGGAGTTAGCGAAATTCCAATGTGTGCGGATCGGCAAAAAATGCGAAATAACCCTTTAACCGTACATTTGACAGATACTTCCGCACTGACTTTTTTGTAGATCTTATTGATATACATGTGTGTGTCAAATTTTGTGTCATTTTGACAAAGCGTAAAGGCGTGACAGTCAACAATGTGTATTTTCGCCTTAGGAGACAAGAAAAAATGGACTTTTTTCTCCTGCCATGGGGGGGGCGCTCTTTTGGCGAGTAAAAATTCCTTCACAAATGTGTTGATGGCTGGACATTGCATCATCCTAGAGAACTTGGAGGCCAGTGAGGACAAAAATAAAAAGTTATAAGACTTTTAAGACTGTGGATTTTTGGGTTATCTTTGGCGCCCCCTAGAACGTAAACCGTGGGGTGCAGTGTCATGATTTGTACAACTTTTAATGGCCATGGGGTGTAGATTGGCCTCAGCAAATGTGGTGCCTTTGGAACGAAAGCCTTCGGAGGAGTTAGCGAAATTCCAATGTGTGCGGATCGGCAAAAAATGCGAAATAGCCCTTTCACCGTACATTTGACAGATACGCCCGCACTGACTTTTTTGTAGATCTTATTGAGATACATGTGTGTGTCAATTTTTGTGTCAATATGACAAAGCGTAAAGGCGTGACAGTCAATAGTGTGAATTTTCGCCTTAGGAGACAAGAAAAAATGGACTTTTTTCTCCTGCCATGGGGGGGCGCTCTTTTGGGGAGTAAAAATTCCTTCACAAATGTGTTGATGGCTGGACATTGCATCATCCTAGAAAACTTGGAGGCCAGTGAGGACAAAAATAAAAAGTTATACGACTTTTAAGAATGTGGATTTCTGGGTTATCTTTGGCGCCCCCTAGAACGTAAACCGTGGGATGCAGCGTCATGATTTGTACAACTTTTAATGGCCATGGGGTGTAGATTGGCCTGAGCAAATTTGGTGCCGGTGGAACGAAAGCCTTCGGAGGAGTTAGCGAAATTCCAATGTGTGCGGATCGGCAAAAAATGCGAAATAGCCCTTTAACCGTACATTTGACAGATACGCCCGCACTGACTTTTTTGTAGATCTTATTGAGATACACGTGTGTGTCAAATTTTGTGTCATTTTGACAAAGCGTACAGGCGTGACACTCAATCATGTGAATTTTTCACCTTAGGGGGCGCTATGGAGCCATTTTGCATTTGATTTTTTGGGCGACTTCAGAATATCGAATTTTTCACCAGGCCCGGTCGTCCTGCCAAATTTCATGACTTTTCACCAGTGGGAAGTGGGCCATTTTCCAGTTCAAAGGGGCAGAAAAATAATAAGACTAGGACCCCGTTGGGGCACTGGCGGGCCCGCGCTGTGTCGCGCCCCCCCCCCCCCCCCTCTGGCCATCGCCCTCTCTGGTAACGCCCATCACTGCAAAGACCCTTTTCCTTCATCGGCGTTTGCTGTTCTTCCTGCCAGTGCGTGTTGCTTTCACTTACACTTGCCACAGCCAGCCTCGTGAGTGCCTAGCCTATTCGATATCACTGTCACCTACACAGGACAGTCATTACCTTTCTATTAATACTTTGTTTTTTAATTTCACATTAATTTCCATATTGTATAAACAACTGGAAAAAACTTGAGCCCCTGCCCCTGTATAATCATGTGCACGTCTCTGTTCTAGCTCTAAGGTGAATCTTCACTGCTCATGTTCTCCTCAGAAGCAGTCACCTCACTCCCCTCAGGTTACTGTACACATGCACCAACTGCCTGCTTCAGGTTTGGATGGAGCTTCATGGTTGTCTTTTGGAGAAATGACCAGTCAAGTTGTGTTTGAAATTTGATTTTTTTCAGGGGCAAAAGGAGCCTCTGCATTCTTGTCAAATATGTAAATAGCATGTTTTTGCAGGTGCTAAAAACCAGACTCTGAGTGTGTGTGTGTGCTTGTGTGTGTGTGTCTGTGTGTGTGTGTGTGTGTGTGTGTGCGTTCAAGTCACATGACATATTTAAACGGATGTAGCTGCAAGACGGAGCCTCGTTGACTCTCCGTTTCAACTTATCTCAAAAGTGAGGACCTCAACCTATATACCAGTTTTTAAATTGTGTTGATAGGCCAAATAAAACCAGAGTTATGATAAATTATGTCCGTGATACTTTTTTTCTGCTTATTTTGATCACGTTCTGCGCTGATCGCGCTGTATGAGACAGGAAAACATAGCATGCAGACATTAGCGACAGGTCTTACAGGCGGAAAAGGCTTGCCAAAGGAAAAAAAAAACACACCACAACATCTCTCCTATTGGTGGAAAACTTCACCACAACAACCAATCCAAAATTATATGGTGACTGATTGACAAGGGGCGGGCGCTTACGTTCTTCCTGCAATATGAGAAGGGAGGGAGGGAGGGACTCTCAGCAGGGATGCAGTCTGGGACACGTAGTTGCAAACCTAGCGACTTTGTTGTTAGATTCAATGACTTTTCAGACCCCCTAATGACTTTTTTTTTAGAAAGAAAGTGACTTTTATCGACTTCTTCTGGAGTTTAGAGACTCTGACATGAAGCAGGCTTTCCTTACTGAGGAGTTAGCAACGCTGCTAAGGGTGCAGAGCCACACATGCGCTCCGAGCTCTGCATGGGAGACTGAAGCTGACAGAGCTGCAGCAGTTAGCAGGTTTCACCCTCAGAGACCACCAGGGGTTCATGTTGAGGCATTTTAATTTTTTTTTTTTTTTTTGCCATAGACACTGTCAGCACAATCTGCAGTTACACTAACAAAAATGCTGCAAAAAACAAAGAATTATGGAAAAATTACACATGGACTAACATAGAGGAGGATCTACACAAGTTTTTTACATCATGTTTTACATCATGCATCATTAACATCATGTTTTTTTGTAGTGGCATAAATAAAAAGTGACATTTGTGAGACTATACAGTGTTTTGTAAATAATTTTACAAAGAACACCTGGGCCATTGCCTGCATTTTGATGTAAATAGAGGTAAATTACTATGTTCTTTGTTAAAAATTTGCATATGTTTTGAAGTTTACAATTTTTATTTGAAGTTTAAGTTTTAAAAACAGTTCATCACACATATTTGTGGTTTTCACAGTAAAAACGTTACTTTTTTCCACTCGGATTTTATGTTTTGTGTGTGAATTTGGGTCCAATGTGTAAATATAGTATGTCAAAATGATAAAATAACTGTAAATTGACACAGGTGAGGTTGTGCTGAAAAAAATGATACCAGGCAAGGCAAGGTAAAAATTTTGTAAGAGGAAATATAAAGGTAAAATCTAAAGTAGTCAAAAACGGCCAATAGTGACTCACAGACTCCACAGACAAGTCCCTTTGGCGCCACTCAGTGGGCAAAACTACTTTGTCTACTGTAATGTATATTTGGGTCATCTTTGGCGCACCCTAAAACGTAAACCGTGGGGTGCAGCGTCATGATTTTTACAACTTTGAATGGCCATGGAGTGTAGATTGGCCTGAGCAAATTTGGTGTCAGTGGGACGAAAGCCTTAGGAGGAGTTAGCGAAATTCCAATGTGTGCGAATCGGCAAAAAATGCAAAATAGTCCTTTTACCGTACATTATACAGATACGCGCTCTTTGACTTTTTCGTAGATCTAATTGAGATACACATGATTGTCAATTTTTGTGTCATTTTGCCAAAGCGTACAGGCGTGACAGTCAACAATGTGTATTTTCACCTTAGGGGACAAGAAAAAATGGACTTTTTTCTCCTGCCATGGGGGGCGCTCTTTTAGGGAGTAAAAATTCCTTCACAAATGTGTTGATGGCTGGACATTGCATCATCCTAGAAAACTTGGAGGCCAGTGAGGACAAAAATAAAAAGTTATAAGACTTTTAAAAATGTGGATTTTTGGGTTATCTTTGGCGCCCCCTAGAACGTAAACCGTGGGGTGCAGCGTCATGATTTGAATAACTTTTAATGGCCATGGGGTGTAATTTGGCCTGAGCAAATGTGGTGCCGGTGGAACGAAAGCCTTCGGAGGAGTTAGCGAAATTCCAATGTGTGCGAATCGGCAAAAAATGCGGAATAACCCTTTAACCGTACATTTGACAGATACGCGCTCATGGACTTTTTTGTAGATCTTATTGAGATACATGTGTGTGTCAATTTTTGTGTCATTTTGACAAAGCGTACAGGCGTGACACTCAACAATGTGTATTTTCACCTTAGGGGACAAGAAAAAATGGACTTTTTTCTCCTGCCATGGGGGGGCGCTCTTTTGGGGAGTAAAAATTCCTTCACAAATGTGTTGATGGCTGGACATTGCATCATCCTAGAAAACTTGGAGGCCAGTGAGGGCAAAAATAAAAAGTTATAAGACTTTTAAATATGTGGATTTTAAGGTTATCTTTGGCGCCCCCTAGAACCTAAACCTTGGGGTGCAGCGTCATGATTTTGATAACTTTTAATGGCCACGGGGTGTAGATTGGCCTGAGCAAATGTGGTGCCGGTGGAACGAAAGCCTTCGGAGGAGTTAGCGAAATTCCAATGTGTGCGGATTGGAAAAAAATGCGAAATAACCCTTTAACCGTACATTTGACAGATACGGCCGCACTGACTTTTTTGTAGATCTTATTGAGATACATATGTGTGTCAATTTTTGTGTCAATATGACAAAGCGTACAGGCGTGACAGTCAATAGTGTGAATTTCCACCTTAGGGGGCGCTATGGAGCCATTTTGCATTTTATTGTTTGGGCGACTTCAGAATATCGAATTTTTCACCAGGCCCGGTCGTCCTGCCAAATTTCATGAGTTTTCGCCAGTGGGAAGTGGGCCATTTTCCAGTTCAAAGGGGAGGAAAAAGAAGAAAGAAAGAAAGAAAGAAAGAACTAGGACCCCGTTGGGGCACTGTCGGGCCCGAGCCGTGTCGCGCCGCCCCCAGTGCGACCGCCTCCCCCTCCCGATCGCGTCACACTCAAGATCCAAAGATGGTGTGCGCACTTGTCTGTGGTCATTTCCTATTATAATGAATGGGAGGCGCAGTTTCTACCAAAACACTCGCTGCAGACAAACTTCATGTCCTATTTGAAAAAAGTCTGGACCATGAGTGAGGGCACAAACACAGCTATGATATATCGAAATGGCAGGTTGCTCCTCCTTACGGTGTTGCCTGGAGAGCGATGCGATTGAGCCATTGAGCGATGGGCAGGAAAAACTTAACTTTTTCTCCTGCCATATGGGGGGGGGGGATGTGGATTCTTTGAAGAATGTGGATTTTTGGGTCATCTTTGGCGCCCCCTAGAACGTAAACCGTGGGGTGCAGCGTCATGATTTTTACAACTTTGAATGGCCATGGGGTGTAGATTGGCCTGAGCAAATTTGGTGTCAGTGGGACGAAAGCCTTAGGAGGAGTTAGCCACATTCCAATGTGTGCGAATCGGCAAAAAATGCAAAATAGCCCTTTAACCGTACATTTGACAGATACGCGCGAATCGACTCTTTTGTAGATCTTATTGAGATACATATGTGTGTCAATTTTTGTGTGAATATGATAAAGCGTACAGGCGTGACAGTCAATAGTGTGAATTTCCACCTTAGGGGACAAGAAAAAATTGGCTTTTTTTTCCTGCCATGGGGGGGCGCTCTTTTGGGCAGTAAAAATTCCTTCACAAATGTGTTGATGGCTGGACATTGCATCATCCTAGAAAACTTGGAGGCCAGTGAGGACAAAAATAAAAAGTTATAAGACTTTTAAATATGTGGATTTTAGGGTTATCTTTGGCGCCCCCTAGAACCTAAACCGTGGGATGCAGCGTCATGATTTGAATAACTTTTAATGGCCATGGGGTGTAGATTGGCCTGAGCAAATGTGGTACCGGTGGAATGAAAGCCTTCGGAGGAGTTAGCGAAATTCCAATGTGTGCTGATCGGCAAAAAATGCGGAATAACCCTTTAACCGTACATTTGACAGATACGCGCGCATTGACTTTTTCGTAGATCTTATTGAGATACATGTGTGTGTCAATTTTTGTGTCATTTTGCCAAAGCGTACAGGTGTTACACTCAACAATCTGTATTTTCACCTTAGGGGACAAGAAAAAATGGACTTTTTTCTCCTGCCATGGGGGGGCGCTCTTTTGGGGAGTAAAAATTCCTTCACAAATGTGTTGATGGCTGGACATTGCATCATCCTAGAAAACTTGGAGGCCAGTGAGGGCAAAAATAAAAAGTTATAAGACTTTTAAATATGTGGATCTTAGGGTTATCTTTGGCGCCCCCTAGAACCTAAACCGTGGGGTGCAGCGTCATGATTTGAATAACTTTTAATGGCCATGGGGTGTAGATTGGCCTGAGCAAATGTGGTGCCGGTGGAACGAAAGCCTTCGGAGGAGTTAGCGAAATTCCAATGTGTGCGGATCGGCAAAAAATGCGAAATAACCCTTTAACCGTACATTTGACAGATACGCCCGCACTGACTTTTTTGTAGATCTTATTGAGATACATGTGTGTGTCAATTTTTGTGTCATTTTGACAAAGCGTACAGGCGTGACAGTCAATAGTGTGAATTTTCACCTTAGGGGGCGCTATGGAGCCATTTTGCATTTTCTTGTTTGGGCGACTTCGGAATATCAAATTTTTCACCAGGCCCGGTCGTCCTGCCAAATTTCATGAGTTTTCGCCAGTGGGAAGTGGGCCATTTTCCAGTTCAAAGGGGAGGAAAAATAATAACTAGGGCCCCGTTGGGGCACTGGCGGGCCCGAGCCGTGTCGCACCCCCCCCCCCGTCCCATTCGTGTCCTCTGGCCATCGCCCTCTCTGGTAACGCCCATCACTGCAAAGACCCTTTGCAAACAGACTCTGAGTGTGTGTGTGTGTGTGTGTGTGTCTGTGTGTGTGTGTGTGTGTGTCTGTGTGTGTGTGTGTATCCTGCAGTACTCTGAGAAGAATAATAAGCATATTTCTGAGGTGAATTTTGAAGATTCATCTGAGAGTTAGGTTTGATTCGATTCGATTGACGCTCCCCAGCGTTCAAGTCACATGACATATTTAACCGGATGTAGCTGCAAGACGGAGCCTCGTTAACTCTCCGTTTCAACTTACCTCAAAAGTGAGGACCTCAACCTATATACCAGTTTTTAAATTGTGTTGATAGGCCAAATAAAACCAGAGTTATGATAAATTATGTCCGCGATACTTTTTTTCTGCTTATTTTGATCACGTTCGGCGCTCGATCGTGCTGTATGAGACAGGAAAACATTGCATGCACACATTAGTGACAGGTCATACAGGCGGAAAAGGCTTGCCAAAAGAAAAAAAAAACACACCACAACATCTCTCCTATTGGTGGAAAACTTCACCACAACAACCAATCCAAAATTATATGGTGACTGATTGACAAGGGGCGGGCGCTTACGTTCTTCCTGCAACATGAGAAGGGAGGGAGGGACTCTCAGCAGGGATGCAGTCTGGGACACGTAGTTGCAAACCTAGCGACTTTGTTGTTAGATTCAATGACTTTTCAGACCCCCTAACGACTTTTTTTTAGAAAGAAAGGGACTTTTATCGACTTCTTCTGGAGTTTAGAGACTCTGACATGAAGCAGGCTTTCCTTACTGAGGAGTTAGCAACGCTGCTAAGGGTGCAGAGCCACACATGCGCTCCGAGCTCTGCATGGGAGACAGAAGCTGACAGAGCTGCAGCAGTTAGCAGGTTTCACCCTCAGAGACCACCAGGGGTTCATGTTGAGGCATTTTCAGTTTTTTTTTTTTTGCCATAGACAGTCAGCACAATCTGCAGTTACACTAACAAAAATGCTGCAAAAAACAAAGAATTATGGAAAAATTACACATGGACTGACATAGAGGAGGATCTACACAAGTTTTTTACATCATGTTTTACATCATGCATCATTTACATCATGTTTTTTTGTAGTGGCATAAATAAAAAGTGACATTTGTGAGACTATACAGTGTTTTGTAAATAATTTTACAAAGAACGCCTGGGCCATTGCCTGCATTTTGATGTAAATAGAGGTAAATTACTATGTTCTTTGTTACAAATTTGCATATGTTTTGAAGTTTACAATTTTTATTTGAAGTTTAAGTTTTAAAAACAGTTCATCACACATATTTGTGGTTTAATTTCACATTAATTTCCATATTGTATAAATGACTGGAAAAAACTTGAGCCCCTGCCCCTGTATAATCATGTGCACGTCCCTGTTCTAGCTCCAAGGTGAATCTTCACTGCTCATGTTCTCCTCAGAAATAGTCACCTCACTCTCCTCAGGTTACTGTACACATGCACCAACTATCTGCTTCAGGTTTGGATGGAGCTTCATGGTTGTCTTTTGGAGAAATGAACAGTCAAGTTGTGTTTGAAATCTGATTTTTTTCAGGGGCAAAAGGAAGCCTCTGCATTCTTGTCAAATATGTAAACAGCATGTTTTTGCAGGTGCTAAAAAACAGACTCTGAGTGTGTGTGTGTGTCTGTGTGTGTGTGTGTGTGTGTGTGTGTGTGTATGTTGGCGTGTGTGTATATGTGTGTGTATCCTGCAGTACTCTGTACTCTTGCAGTGGCCAAAAAGACTTTTAAGAATGTGGATTTTTGGGTCATCTTTGGCGCCCCCTAGAACTGCAGTACTCTGTACTCCTGCAGTGGCCAAAATGACTTTTAAGAATGTGGATTTTTGGGTCATCTTTGGCGCCCCCTAGAACGTAAACCGTGGGGTGCAGCGTCATGATTTTTACAACTTTGAATGGGCATGGGGTGTAGATTGCCCTGAGCAAATTTGGTATCGGTGGGACGAAAGCCTTAGGAGGAGATAGCCACATTCCAATGTGTGCGAATCGGCAAAAAATGCAAAATAGCCCTTTAACCGTACATTATAAAGATACGCGCTCTTTGACTTTTTCGTAGATCTAATTGAGATACACATGATTGTCAATTTTTGTGTCAATATGACAAAGCGTTCAGGCGTGACACTCAACAATGTGTATTTTCATGTAAGGGGACAAGAAAAAATTGACTTTTTTCTCCTACCATGGGGGGGCGCTCTTTTGGGGAGTAAAAATTCCTTCACAAATGTGTTGATGGCTGGACATTGCATCATCCTAGAAAACTTGGAGGCCAGTGAGGACAAAAATAAAAAGTTATAAAACATTTAAGAATGTGGATTTTTGGGTTATTTTTGGCGCCCCCTAGAACCTAAACCTTGGGGTGCAGCATCATGATTTGAATAACTTTTAATGGCCATGGGGTGTAGATTGGCCTGACCAAATGTGGTGCCGGTGGAACGAAAGCCTTCGGAGGAGTTAGCAAAATTCCAATGTGTGCGTATCGGCAAAAAATGCGGAATAACCCTTTAACTGTACATTTGACAGATACGCGCTCTTTGACTTTTTTGTAGATCTTATTGAGTTACATGTGTGTGTCAATTTTTGTGTCATTTTGACAAAGCGTATAGGCGTGACACTCAACAATGTGTATTTTCACCTTAGGGGACAAGAAAAAATTGACTTTTTTCTCCTGCCATGGGGGGGCGCTCTTTTGGGGAGTAAAAATTCCTTCACAAATGTGTTGATGGCTGGACATTGCATCATCCTAGAAAACTTGGAGGCCAGTGAGGACAAAAATAAAAAGTTATAAGACTTTTAAATATGTGGATTTTAGTGTTATCTTTGGCGCCCCCTAGAACCTAAACCTTGGGGTGCAGCGTCATGATTTTGATAACTTTTAATGGCCATGGGGTGTAGATTGGCCTGAGCAAATGTGGTGCCGGTGGAACGAAAGCCTTCGGAGGAGTTAGCGAAATTCCAATGTGTGCGGATCGGCAAAAAATGCGAAATAACCCTTTAACCGTACATTTGACAGATACGCCCGCACTGACTTTTTTGTAGATCTTATTGAGATACATGTGTGTGTCAATTTTTGTGTCATTTTGACAAAGCGTACAGGCGTGACAGTCAATAGTGTGAATTTTCACCTTAGGGGGCGCTATGGAGCCATTTTGCATTTTCTTGTTTGGGCGACTTCGGAATATCAAATTTTTCACCAGGCCCGGTCGTCCTGCCAAATTTCATGAGTTTTCGCCAGTGGGAAGTGGGCCATTTTCCAGTTCAAAGGGGAGGAAAAAGAAAAAAGAAAGAAAGAAACAAAGAAAAACCACTTGGGGAATAATAGGGCCTACGCCCGGCTGCTCTGCAGCTGGCTCGGGCCCTAATAATAACAAAAGAAGGAAACATGCAGGAACAAGAGGGCTCTCGCAGCTGCTTAGCAGCTACGCTCGGGCCCTAATGGCCTTTTTTGTCCTGCCATGGGGGGGGCGCTGTTTTGGGGAGTAAAAATTCCTTCACAAATGTGTTGATGGCTGGACATTGCATCATCCTAGAAAACTTGGAGGCCAATGAGGACAAAAATAAAAAGTTATAAGATTTTTAAGAATGTGGATTTGTGGGTTATCTTTGGCGCCCCCTAGAACGTAAACCGTGGGGTGCAGCGTCATGATTTGTACAACTTTCAATGGCCATGGGGTGTAGATTGGCCTGAGCAAATGTAGTGCTGGTGGAACGAAAGCCTTCGGAGGAGTTAGCGAAATTCCAATGTGTGCGGAACGGCAAAAAATGCGAAATAACCCTTTAACTGTACATTTGACAGATACGCCCGCACTGACTTTTTTGTAGATCTTATTGAGATACATGTGTGTGTCAATTTTTGTGTCAATATGACAAAGCGTACAGGCGTGACAGTCAATAGTGTGAATTTTCACCTTTGGGGGCGCTATTGAGCCATTTTGCATTTTCTTGTTTGGGCGACTTCAGAATATCGAATTTTTCACCAGGCCCGGTCGTCCTGCCAAATTTCATGAGTTTTCGCCAGTGGGAAGTGGGCCATTTTCCCCTTCAAAGGGGAGGAAAAATAAGAAGAAAGAAAGAAAGAAAGAAAGAAGAAAGAAAAACCTATACAGGAATAATAGGGCTCTACGCCCGGCTGCTCTGCAGCTGGCTCGGGCCCTAACTAGGGCCCCGGTGGGGCACTGTCGGGCCCGAGCCGCGTCGTGCTGCCCCCAGCGCGACCGCCTCCCCCTCCCGATCGCGTCACACTCAAGGTCCAAAGATGGTGTGGGCACTTGTCTGTGGTCATTTCCCATTATAATGAATGGGAGGCGCAGTTTCTACCAAAACACTCGCTGCAGACAAACTTCATGTCCTATTTGAAAAAAGTCTGGACCATGAGTGAGGGCACAAACACAGCTGGGATATATCCAAATGGCAGGTTGCTCCTCGTTACGGTGTTGCCTGGAGAGCGATGCGATTGAGCCATTGAGCGATGGGCAGGAAAAACTTGACTTTTTCTCCTGCCATGGGGGGGGGGGGGAATGTGGATTCTTTTAAGAATGTGGATTTTTTGGTCATCTTTGGCGCCCCCTAGAACATAAACCGTGGGGTGCAGCGTCATGATTTTTACAACTTTGAATGGCCATGGGGTGTAGATTGGCCTGAGCAAATGTGGTGCCGGTGGAACGAAAGCCTTAGGAGGAGTTAGCCACATTCCAATGTGTGCGAATCGGCAAAAAATGCAAAATAGCCCTCTAACCGTACATTTGACAGATACGCACCCATTGACTTTTTCGTAGATCTTATTGAGATACACGTGATTGTCAAATTTTGTGTCAATATGACAAAGCGTACAGGTGTCACACTCAACAATGTGAATTTTCACCTTACGGGACAAGAAAAAATGGACTTTTTTCTCCTGCCATGGGGGGGCGCTCTTTTGGGGAGTAAAAATTCCTTCACAAATGTGTTGATGGCTGGACATTGCATCATCCTAGAAAACTTGGAGGCCAGTGAGGACAAAAATAAAAAGTTATAAGACTTTTAAATATGTGGATTTTAGTGTTATCTTTGGCGCCCCCTAGAACCTAAACCTTGGGGTGCAGCGTCATGATTTTGATAACTTTTAATGGCCATGGGGTGTAGATTGGCCTGAGCAAATGTGGTGCCGGTGGAACGAAAGCCTTCGGAGGAGTTAGCGAAATTCCAATGTGTGCGGATCGGCAAAAAATGCAAAATAACCCTTTAACCGTACATTTGACAGATACGCCCGCACTGACTTTTTTGTAGATCTTATTGAGATACATGTGTGTGTCAATTTTTGTGTCATTTTGACAAAGCGTACCGGCGTGACAGTGAATAGTGTGAATTTTCACCTTAGGGGGCGCTATGGAGCCATTTTGCATTTTCTTGTTTGGGCGACTTCGGAATATCAAATTTTTCACCAGGCCCGGTCGTCCTGCCAAATTTCATGAGTTTTCGCCAGTGGGAAGTGGGCCATTTTCCAGTTCAAAGGGGAGGAAAAATAATAATAATAATAACAAAAGAAGGAAACTACAGGAACAAGAGGGCTCTCGCAGCTGCTTAGCAGCTACGCTCGGGCCCTAATAACAAAAGAAGGAAACTACAGGAACAAGAGGGCTCTCGCAGCTGCTTAGCAGCTACGCTCGGGCCCTAAAGAAAGAAAGAAACAAAGAAAAACCACTTGGGGAATAATAGGGCTCTCGCAGCTGCTTAGCAGCTACGCTCGGGCCCTAAAGACTAGGGCCCCGTTGGGGCACTGGCGGGCCCGAGCCGTGTCGCACCCCCCCCCCCGTCCCATTCGTGTCCTCTGGCCATCGCCCTCTCTGGTAACGCCCATCACTGCAAAGACCCTTTGCAAACAGACTCTGAGTGTGTGTGTGTGTGTGTGTGTGTCTGTGTGTGTGTGTGTGTGTGTCTGTGTGTGTGTGTGTATCCTGCAGTACTCTGAGAAGAATAATAAGCATATTTCTGAGGTGAATTTTGAAGATTCATCTGAGAGTTAGGTTTGATTCGATTCGATTGACGCTCCCCAGCGTTCAAGTCACATGACATATTTAACCGGATGTAGCTGCAAGACGGAGCCTCGTTAACTCTCCGTTTCAACTTACCTCAAAAGTGAGGACCTCAACCTATATACCAGTTTTTAAATTGTGTTGATAGGCCAAATAAAACCAGAGTTATGATAAATTATGTCCGCGATACTTTTTTTCTGCTTATTTTGATCACGTTCGGCGCTCGATCGTGCTGTATGAGACAGGAAAACATTGCATGCACACATTAGTGACAGGTCATACAGGCGGAAAAGGCTTGCCAAAAGAAAAAAAAAACACACCACAACATCTCTCCTATTGGTGGAAAACTTCACCACAACAACCAATCCAAAATTATATGGTGACTGATTGACAAGGGGCGGGCGCTTACGTTCTTCCTGCAACATGAGAAGGGAGGGAGGGACTCTCAGCAGGGATGCAGTCTGGGACACGTAGTTGCAAACCTAGCGACTTTGTTGTTAGATTCAATGACTTTTCAGACCCCCTAACGACTTTTTTTTAGAAAGAAAGGGACTTTTATCGACTTCTTCTGGAGTTTAGAGACTCTGACATGAAGCAGGCTTTCCTTACTGAGGAGTTAGCAACGCTGCTAAGGGTGCAGAGCCACACATGCGCTCCGAGCTCTGCATGGGAGACAGAAGCTGACAGAGCTGCAGCAGTTAGCAGGTTTCACCCTCAGAGACCACCAGGGGTTCATGTTGAGGCATTTTCAGTTTTTTTTTTTTTGCCATAGACAGTCAGCACAATCTGCAGTTACACTAACAAAAATGCTGCAAAAAACAAAGAATTATGGAAAAATTACACATGGACTGACATAGAGGAGGATCTACACAAGTTTTTTACATCATGTTTTACATCATGCATCATTTACATCATGTTTTTTTGTAGTGGCATAAATAAAAAGTGACATTTGTGAGACTATACAGTGTTTTGTAAATAATTTTACAAAGAACGCCTGGGCCATTGCCTGCATTTTGATGTAAATAGAGGTAAATTACTATGTTCTTTGTTACAAATTTGCATATGTTTTGAAGTTTACAATTTTTATTTGAAGTTTAAGTTTTAAAAACAGTTCATCACACATATTTGTGGTTTAATTTCACATTAATTTCCATATTGTATAAATGACTGGAAAAAACTTGAGCCCCTGCCCCTGTATAATCATGTGCACGTCCCTGTTCTAGCTCCAAGGTGAATCTTCACTGCTCATGTTCTCCTCAGAAATAGTCACCTCACTCTCCTCAGGTTACTGTACACATGCACCAACTATCTGCTTCAGGTTTGGATGGAGCTTCATGGTTGTCTTTTGGAGAAATGAACAGTCAAGTTGTGTTTGAAATCTGATTTTTTTCAGGGGCAAAAGGAAGCCTCTGCATTCTTGTCAAATATGTAAACAGCATGTTTTTGCAGGTGCTAAAAAACAGACTCTGAGTGTGTGTGTGTGTCTGTGTGTGTGTGTGTGTGTGTGTGTGTGTGTATGTTGGCGTGTGTGTATATGTGTGTGTATCCTGCAGTACTCTGTACTCCTGCAGTGGCCAAAAAGACTTTTAAGAATGTGGATTTTTGGGTCATCTTTGGCGCCCCCTAGAACTGCAGTACTCTGTACTCCTGCAGTGGCCAAAATGACTTTTAAGAATGTGGATTTTTGGGTCATCTTTGGCGCCCCCTAGAACGTAAACCGTGGGGTGCAGCGTCATGATTTTTACAACTTTGAATGGGCATGGGGTGTAGATTGCCCTGAGCAAATTTGGTATCGGTGGGACGAAAGCCTTAGGAGGAGATAGCCACATTCCAATGTGTGCGAATCGGCAAAAAATGCAAAATAGCCCTTTAACCGTACATTATAAAGATACGCGCTCTTTGACTTTTTCGTAGATCTAATTGAGATACACATGATTGTCAATTTTTGTGTCAATATGACAAAGCGTTCAGGCGTGACACTCAACAATGTGTATTTTCATGTAAGGGGACAAGAAAAAATTGACTTTTTTCTCCTACCATGGGGGGGCGCTCTTTTGGGGAGTAAAAATTCCTTCACAAATGTGTTGATGGCTGGACATTGCATCATCCTAGAAAACTTGGAGGCCAGTGAGGACAAAAATAAAAAGTTATAAAACATTTAAGAATGTGGATTTTTGGGTTATTTTTGGCGCCCCCTAGAACCTAAACCTTGGGGTGCAGCATCATGATTTGAATAACTTTTAATGGCCATGGGGTGTAGATTGGCCTGAGCAAATGTGGTGCCGGTGGAACGAAAGCCTTCGGAGGAGTTAGCGAAATTCCAATGTGTGCGTATCGGCAAAAAATGCGGAATAACCCTTTAACTGTACATTTGACAGATACGCGCTCTTTGACTTTTTTGTAGATCTTATTGAGTTACATGTGTGTGTCAATTTTTGTGTCATTTTGACAAAGCGTATAGGCGTGACACTCAACAATGTGTATTTTCACCTTAGGGGACAAGAAAAAATTGACTTTTTTCTCCTGCCATGGGGGGGCGCTCTTTTGGGGAGTAAAAATTCCTTCACAAATGTGTTGATGGCTGGACATTGCATCATCCTAGAAAACTTGGAGGCCAGTGAGGACAAAAATAAAAAGTTATAAGACTTTTAAATATGTGGATTTTAGTGTTATCTTTGGCGCCCCCTAGAACCTAAACCTTGGGGTGCAGCGTCATGATTTTGATAACTTTTAATGGCCATGGGGTGTAGATTGGCCTGAGCAAATGTGGTGCCGGTGGAACGAAAGCCTTCGGAGGAGTTAGCGAAATTCCAATGTGTGCGGATCGGCAAAAAATGCGAAATAACCCTTTAACCGTACATTTGACAGATACGCCCGCACTGACTTTTTTGTAGATCTTATTGAGATACATGTGTGTGTCAATTTTTGTGTCATTTTGACAAAGCGTACAGGCGTGACAGTCAATAGTGTGAATTTTCACCTTAGGGGGCGCTATGGAGCCATTTTGCATTTTCTTGTTTGGGCGACTTCGGAATATCAAATTTTTCACCAGGCCCGGTCGTCCTGCCAAATTTCATGAGTTTTCGCCAGTGGGAAGTGGGCCATTTTCCAGTTCAAAGGGGAGGAAAAAGAAAAAAGAAAGAAAGAAACAAAGAAAAACCACTTGGGGAATAATAGGGCCTACGCCCGGCTGCTCTGCAGCTGGCTCGGGCCCTAATAATAACAAAAGAAGGAAACATGCAGGAACAAGAGGGCTCTCGCAGCTGCTTAGCAGCTACGCTCGGGCCCTAATGGCCTTTTTTGTCCTGCCATGGGGGGCGCTGTTTTGGGGAGTAAAAATTCCTTCACAAATGTGTTGATGGCTGGACATTGCATCATCCTAGAAAACTTGGAGGCCAATGAGGACAAAAATAAAAAGTTATAAGATTTTTAAGAATGTGGATTTGTGGGTTATCTTTGGCGCCCCCTAGAACGTAAACCGTGGGGTGCAGCGTCATGATTTGTACAACTTTCAATGGCCATGGGGTGTAGATTGGCCTGAGCAAATGTAGTGCTGGTGGAACGAAAGCCTTCGGAGGAGTTAGCGAAATTCCAATGTGTGCGGAACGGCAAAAAATGCGAAATAACCCTTTAACTGTACATTTGACAGATACGCCCGCACTGACTTTTTTGTAGATCTTATTGAGATACATGTGTGTGTCAATTTTTGTGTCAATATGACAAAGCGTACAGGCGTGACAGTCAATAGTGTGAATTTTCACCTTTGGGGGCGCTATTGAGCCATTTTGCATTTTCTTGTTTGGGCGACTTCAGAATATCGAATTTTTCACCAGGCCCGGTCGTCCTGCCAAATTTCATGAGTTTTCGCCAGTGGGAAGTGGGCCATTTTCCCCTTCAAAGGGGAGGAAAAATAAGAAGAACTAGGGCCCCGTTGGGGCACTGGCGGGCCCGAGCCGTGTCGCGCTGCCCCCCCCAACGCGCTGCCTCCCCGTCCCATTCGCGTCCTCTGGCCATCGTCCTCTCTGGTAACGCCCATCACTGCAAAGACCCTTTCCTTCATCGGCGTTTGCTGTTCTTCCTGCCAGTGCGTGTTGCTTTCACTTACACTTGCCACAGCCAGCCTCGTGAGTGCCTAGCCTATTGGATATCACTGTCATCTACACAGGACAGTCATAACCTTTCTATTAATACTTTGTTTTTTAATTTCACATTAATTTCCATATTGTATAAATGACTGGAAAAAAGTTGAGCCCCTGCCCCTGTATAATCATGTGCACGTCCCTGTTCTAGCTCCAAGGTGAATCTTCACTGCTCATGTTCTCCTCAGAAATAGTCACCTCACTCCCCTCAGGTTACTGTACACATGCACCAACTATCTGCTTCAGGTTTGGATGGAGCTTCATGGTTGTCTTTTGGAGAAATGAACAGTCAAGTTGTGTTTGAAATTAGATTTTTTTCAGGGGCAAAAGGAAGCCTCTGCATTCTTGTCAAATATGTAAACAGCATGTTTTTGCAGGTGCTAAAAACCAGACTCTGAGTGTGTGTGTGTGTGTGTGTGTGTGTGTGTGTGTGTGTGTGTGTGTGTGTGTGTGTGTGTTGGCGTGTGTGTATATGTGTGTGTATCCTGCAGTACTCTGTACTCCTGCAGTGGCCAAAAAGACTTTTAAGAATGTGGATTTTTGGGTCATCTTTGGCGCCCCCTAGAACTGCAGTACTCTGTACTCCTGCAGTGGCCAAAATGACTTTTAAGAATGTGGATTTTTGGGTCATCTTTGGCGCCCCCTAGAACGTAAACCGTGGGGTGCAGCGTCATGATTTTTACAACTTTGAATGGGCATGGGGTGTAGATTGCCCTGAGCAAATTTGGTATCAGTGGGACGAAAGCCTTAGGAGGAGATAGCCACATTCCAATGTGTGCGAATCGGCAAAAAATGCGAAATAGCCCTTTAACCGTACATTATACAGATACGCGCTCTTTGACTTTTTCGTAGATCTAAGTGAGATACACATGATTGTCAATTTTTGTGTCAATATGACAAAGCGTTCAGGCGTGACACTCAACAATGTGTATTTTCATGTAAGGGGACAAGAAAAAATTGACTTTTTTCTCCTGCCATGGGGGGCGCTCTTTTGGGGAGTAAAAATTCCTTCACAAATGTGTTGATGGCTGGACATTGCATCATCCTAGAAAACTTGGAGGGCAGTGAGGACAAAAATAAAAAGTTATAAGACTTTTAAGAATGTGGATTTTTGGGTTATCTTTGGCGCCCCCTAGAACCTAAACCGTGGGGTGCAGCGTCATGATTTGTACAACTTTTAATGGCCATGGGGTGTAGACTGGCCTGAGCAAATGTGGTGCCGGTGGAACGAAAGCCTTCGGAGGAGTTAGCGAAATTCCAATGTGTGCGGATCGGCAAAAAATGCGAAATAACCCTTTAACCGTACATTTGACAGATACGCCCGCACTGACTTTTTTGTAGATCTTATTGAGATACATATGTGTGTCAATTTTTGTGTCAATATGACAAAACGTACAGACGTGACAGTCAATAGTGTGAATTTCCACCTTAGGGGGCGCTATGGAGCCATTTTGCATTTTATTGTTTGGGCGACTTCAAAATATCGAATTTTTCACCAGGCCCGGTCGTCCTGCCAAATTTCATGAGTTTTCGCCAGTGGGAAGTGGGCCATTTTCCAGTTTAAAGCGGAGGAAAAATAATAATAATAATAATAACAAAAGAAGAATCCATCAGGAACAAGAGGGCTCTCGCAGCTGCTTAGCAGCTACGCTCGGGCCCTAAAGAAAGAAAGAAAGAAAGAAGAAAGAAAAACCTATACAGGAATAATAGGGCTCTACGCCCGGCTGCTCTGCAGCTGGCTCGGGCCCTAACTAGGACCCCGTTGGGGCACTGGCAGGCCCGAGCCGCGTTGCGCCGCCCCCAGTGCGACCCCCTCCCCCTCCCGATCGCGTCACACTCAAGGTCCAAAGATGGTGTGCGCACTTGTCTGTGGTCATTTCCCATTATAATGAATGGGGGGCGCAGTTTCTACCAAAACACTCGCTGCAGACAAACTACATGACCTATTTGAAAAAAGTCTGGACCATGAGTGAGGGCACAAACACAGCTAGGATATATCCAAACGGCAAGTTGCTCCTCGTTACGGTGTTGCCGGGAGAGCGATGCGATTGAGCCATTGAGTGATGGGCAGGAAAAACTTGACTGTTTCTCCTGCCATGGGGGATGGGGGATGGGGGATGGGGGGGGGGGGGGTGGATTCTTTTAAAAAATGTGGATATTTGGGTCATCTTTGGCGCCCCCTAGAACGTAAACCGTGGGGTGCAGCGTCATGATTTTTAAAACTTTGAATGGCCATGGGGTGTAGATTGGCCTGAGCAAATTTGGTGTCAGTGGGACGAAAGCCTTAGGAGGAGTTAGCCACATTCCAATGTGTGCTAATCGGCAAAAAATGCAAAATAGCCCTTTAACCGTACATTTTACAGATACGCGCGCATTGACTTTTTCGTAGATCTTATTGAGATACATGTGTGTGTCAAATTTTGTGTCAATATGACAAAGCATACAGGTATGACAGTCAACAATGTGTATTTTCACCTTATGGGACAAGAAAAAATGGACTTTTTTCTCCTGCCATGGGGGGGCGCTCTTTTGGGGAGTAAAAATTCCTTCACAAATGTGTTGATGGCTGGACATTGCATCATCCTAGAAAACTTGGAGGCCAGTGAGGACAAAAATAAAAAGTTATAAGACTTTTAAATATGTGGATTTTAGGGTTGTCTTTGGCGCCCCCTAGAACCTAAACCGTGGGGTGCAGCGTCATGATTTGAATAACTTTTAATGGCCATGGGGTGTAGATTGGCCTGAGCAAATGTGGTGCCGGTGGACAGAAAGCCTTCGGAGGAGTTAGCGAAATTCCAATGTGTGCGGATCGGCAAAAAATGCGGAATAACCCTTTAACCGTACATTTGACAGATACGCTCGCATTGACTTTTTCGTAGATCTTATTGAGTTACATGTGTGTGTCAATTTTTGTGTCATTTTGACAAAGCGTATAGGCGTGACAGTCAACAATGTGTATTTTCACCTTAGGGGACAAGAAAAAATGGACTTTTTTCTCCTGCCATGGGGGGGCGCTCTTTTGGGGAGTAAAAATTCCTTCACAAATGTGTTGATGGCTGGACATTGCATCATCCTAGAAAACTTGGAGGCCAGTGAGGACAAAAATAAAAAGTTATAAGACTTTTAAGAATGTGGATTTTTGGGTTATCTTTGGCGCCCCCTAGAACCTAAACCGTGGGGTGCAGCGTCATGATTTGTACAACTTTTAATGGCCATGGGGTGTAGATTGGCCTGAGCAAATTTGGTGCCGGTGGAACGAAAGCCTTTGGAGGAGTTAGCGAAATTCCAATGTGTGCGGATCGGCAAAAAATGCGAAATAGCCCTTTAACCGTACATTATACAGATACGCGCTCTTTGACTTTTTCGTAGATCTTATTGAGTTACACGTGTGTGTCAAATTTTGTGTCAATATGACAAAGCGTTCAGGCATGACACTCAACAATGTGTATTTTCACCTTAGGGGACAAGAAAAAATTGACTTTTTTCTCCTGCCATGGGGGGGCGCTCTTTTGGGGAGTAAAAATTTCTTCACAAATGTGTTGATGGCTGGACATTGCATCATCCTAGAAAACTTGGAGGCCAGTGAGGACAAAAATAAAAAGTTATAAGACTTTTAAGACTGTGGATTTTTGGGTTATCTTTGGCGCCCCCTAGAATGTAAACCGTGGGGTGCAGCGTCATGATTTGTACAACTTTTAATGGCCATGGGGTGTAGATTGTTCTGAGCAAATTTGTTGCCGGTGGAACGAAAGCCTTCGGAGGAGTTAGCGAAATTCCAATGTGTGCGGATCGGCAAAAAATGCGAAATAGCCCTTTAACCGTACATTTGACAGATACGCCCGCACTGACTTTTTTGTAGATCTTATTGAGATACACATGTGTGTCAAATTTGTGTCATTTTGACAAAGCGTACAGGCGTCAGGTGAGTTTTCACCATAGGGGGCGCTATGGAGCCATTTTTCATTTTTTTGTTTGGGCGACTTCAGAATATCGAATTTTTCACCAGGCCCGGTCGTCCTGCCAAATTTCATGAGTTTTCGCCAGTGGGAAGTGGGCCATTTTCCAGTTTAAAGCGGAGGAAAAATAACGAAAGAAGAATCCATCAGGAACAAGAGGGCTCTCGCAGCTGCTTAGCAGCTACGCTCGGGCCCTAATAACTAGGGCCCCGTTGGGGCACTGGCGGGCCCGAGCTGTGTCGCGCCGCCCCCAACACGACCGCCTCTCCCTCCCGATTGCGTCACACTCAAGGTCCAAAGATGGTGTGCACACTTGTCTGTGGTCATTTACCATTATAATGAATGGGAGGCGCAGTTTCTACCAAAACGCTCGCTGCAGACAAACTACATGTCCTATTTGAAAAAAGTCTGGACCATGAGTGAGGGCACAAACACAGCTAGGATATATCCAAATGGCAAGTTGCTCCTCCTTACGGTGTTGCCGGGAGAGCGATGCGATTGAGCCATTGAGCGATGGGCAGGGTTAACTGGACTTTTTCTCCTGCCTTGGTGGGGGGGGGATGTGGATTCTTTTAAGAATGTGGATATTTGGGTCATCTTTGGCGCCCCCTAGAACGTAAACCATGGGGTGCAGCGGCATGATTTTTACAACTTTGAATGGCCATGGGATGTAGATCGGCTTGAGCAAATTTGGTGTTGGTGGGAAGAAAGCCTTAGGAGGAGTTAGCCACATTCCTATGTGTGCGAATCGGCAAAAAATGCGAAATAGCCCTTTAACCGTACATTTTACAGATACGTGCCCATTGACTTTTTCGTAGATCTTATTGAGATACACGTGTGTGTCAAATTTTGTGTCATTTTGACAAAGCGCATAGGCGTGACAGTCAACAATGTGTTATTTCACCTTAGGGGACAAGAAAAAATGGACTTTTTTCTCCTGCCATGGGGGGGCGCTCTTTTCGGGAGTAAAAATTCCTTTGCAAATGTGTTGATGGCTGGACATTGCATCATCCTAGAAAACTTGGAGGCCAGTGAGGACAAAAATAAAAAGTTATAAGACTTTTAAGACTGTGGATTTTTGGGTTATCTTTGGCGCCCCCTAGAACCTAAACTCTGGAGTGCAGCGTCATGATTTGTACAACTTTTAATGGCCATGGGGTGTAGATTGGCCTGAGCAAATTTGGTGGCGGTGGAACTAAAGCCTTAGGAGGAGTTAGCGAAATTCCAATGTGTGCGGATCGGGAAAAAATGCGAAATAACCCTTTAACCGTACATTTTACAGATCGTGCCCATTGACTTTTTCGTAGATCTTATTGAGATACACGTGGTTGTCAAATTTTGGGTCAATATGACAAAGTGTATAGGCGTGACACTCAACAATGTGTATTTTCACCTTAGGGGACAAGAAAAAATGGACTTTTTTCTCCTGCCATGTGGGGGCGCTCTTTTGGGGAGTAAAAATTCCTTCACAAATGTGTTGATGGCTGGACATTGCATCATCCTAGAGAACTTGGAGGCCAGTGAAGACAAAAATAAAAAGTTATAAGACTTTTAAGACTGTGGATTTTTGGGTTATCTTTGGCGCCCCCTAGAACGTAAACTGTGGGGTGCAGCGTCATGATTTGTACAACTTTTAATGGCCATGGGGTGTAGATTGGCCTGAGCAAATGTGGTGCCGGTGGAACGAATGCCTTCGGAGGAGTTAGCGAAATTCCAATGTGTGCAGATCGGCAAAAAATGCGCAATAACCCTTTAACCGTACATTTCACAGATGCGCCCGCGCTGACTTTTTCATAGACCGTATTGAGATACACGTGTGTGTCAATTTTTGTGTCAATATGACAAAGCGTACAGGCGTGACAGTCAATAGTGTGAATTTTCGCCTTAGGGGGCGCTATGGAGCCATTTTGCATTTTATTGTTTGGGCGACTTCAGAATATCGAATTTTTCACCAGGCCCGGTCGTCCTGCCAAATTTCATGAGTTTTCGCCAGTGGGAAGTGGGCCATTTTCCAGTTTAAAGCGGAGGAAAAATAATAATAATAACAAACTAGGGCCCCGTTGGGGCACTGGCGGGCCCGAGCCGTGTCGCGCCGCCCCCAGCGCGACCGCCTACCCCTCCCGATCGCGTCACACTCAAGGTCCAAAGATGGTGTGCGCACTTGTCTGTGGTCATTTACCATTATAATAAATGGGAGGCGCAGTTTCTACCAAAACGCTCGCTGCAGACAAACTCCATGTCCTTTTTGAAAAAAGTCTGGACCATGAGTGAGGGCACAAACACAGCTAGTATATATCCAAATGGCAAGTTGCTCCTCCTTTCGGTTTTGCCGAGAGAGCGATGCTTTTGAGCCATTGAGCGATGGGCAGGAAAAACTTGACTTTTTCTCCTGCCATGGGGGGCGCTCTTTTGGGGAGAAAAATTCCTTCACAAATGTGTTGATGGCTGGACATTGCATCATCCTAGAAAACTTGGAGGCCAGTGAGGACAAAAAAAAAAAAGTTATAAGACTTTTAAAAATGTGGATATTTGGGTCCTCTTTGGCACCCCCTAGAACGTAAACCGTGGGGTGCAGCGTCATGATTTGTACAACTTTGAATGGCCATGGGGTGTAGATTGACCTGAGCAAATTTGAAGCCAATGGGACAAAAGCTTTAGGAGGAGTTAGCCACATTCCAATGTGTGCGAATCGGCAAAAAATGCGAAATAGCCCTTTAACCGTACATTGAACAGATACGCTCGCATTGACTTTTTCGTAGATCTTATTGAGATACATGTGTGTGTCAAATTTGTGTCATTTTGACAAAGCGTAAAGGCGTGACAGTCAACAATGTGTATTTTCGCCTTAGGAGACAAGAAAAAATGGACTTTTTTCTCCTGCCATGGGGGGGCGCTCTTTTGGCGAGTAAAAATTCCTTCACAAATGTGTTGATGGCTGGACATTGCATCATCCTAGAGAACTTGGAGGCCAGTGAGGACAAAAATAAAAAGTTATAAGACTTTTAAGACTCTGGATTTTTGGGTTATCTTTGGCGCCCCCTAGAACGTAAACCGTGGGGTGCAGCGTCATGATTTGTACAACTTTTAATGGCCATGGGGTGTAGATTGGCCTGAGCAAATGTGGTGCCGTTGGAATGAAAGCCTTCGGAGGAGTTAGCGAAATTCCAATGTGTGCGGATCGGCAAAAAATGCGAAATAACCCTTTAACCGTACATTTGACAGATACGCCCGCACTGACTTTTTTGTAGATCTTATTGAGATACATGTGTGTGTCAAATTTTGTGTCATTTTGACAAAGCGTAAAGGCGTGACAGTCAACGATGTGTATTTTCGCCTTAGGAGACAAGAAAAAATGGACATTTTTCTCCTGCCATGGGGGGGCGCTCTTTTGGCGAGTAAAAATTCCTTCACAAATGTGTTGATGGCTGGACATTGCATCATCCTAGAGAACTTGGAGGCCAGTGAGGACAAAAATAAAAAGTTATAAGACTTTTAAGACTGTGGATTTTTGGGTTATCTTTGGCGCCCCCTAGAACGTAAACCGTGGGGTGCAGCGTCATGATTTGTACAACTTTTATTGGCCATGGGGTGTAGATTGGCCTGAGCAAATGTGGTGCCGGTGGAACGAAAACCTTCGGAGGAGTTAGCGAAATTCCAATGTGTACGGATCGGCAAAAAATGCGAAATAAACCTTTAACCGTACATTTGACAGATACGCCCGCACTGACTTTTTTGTAGATCTTATTGAGATACACGTGTGTGTCAAATTTTGTGTCATTTTGACAAAGCGTACAGGCGTGACACTCAATCATGTGAATTTTTCACCTTAGGGGGCGCTATGGAGCCATTTTGCATTTGATTTTTTGGGCGACTTCAGAATATCGAATTTTTCACCAGGCCCGGTCGTCCTGCCAAATTTCATGACTTTTCACCAGTGGGAAGTTGGCCATTTTCCAGTTCAAAGGGGCAGAAAAATAACTAGGACCCCGGTGGGGCACTGTCGGGCCCGAGCCGCGTCGCGCCGCCCCCAGCGCGACCGCCTCCCCCTCCCGATCGCGTCACACTCAAGGTCCAAAGATGGTGTGCGCACTTGTCTGTGGTCATTTCCCATTATAATGAATGGGAGGCGCAGTTTCTACCAAAACACTCGCTGCAGACAAACTTCATGTCCTATTTGAAAAAGTCTGGACCATGAGTGAGGGCACAAACACAGCTAGGATATATCCAAATGGCAGGTTGCTCCTCGTTACGGTGTTGCCGGGAGAGTGATGCGATTGAGCCATTGAGTGATGGGCAGGAAAAACTTGACTGTTTCTCCTGCCATGGGGGTTGGGGGATGTGGATTCTTTTAAGAATGTGGATATTTGGGTCATCTTTGGCGCCCCCTAGAACGTAAACCGTGGGGTGCAGCGTCATGATTTTTACAACTTTGAATGGCCATGGGGTGTTGATTGGCCTGAGCAAATTTGGTGTCAGTGGGACGAAAGCCTTAGGAGGAGTTAGCCACATTCCAATGTGTGCGAATCGGCAAAAAATGCAAAATAGCCCTTTAACCGTACATTTTACAGATACGCGCGCATTGACTTTTTCGTAGATCTTATTGAGATACACGTGATTGTCAAATTTTGTGTCAATATGACAAAGCGTACAGGTATGACAGTCAACAATGTGTTTTTTCACCTTATGGGACAAGAAAAAATGGACTTTTTTCTCCTGCCATGGGGGGCGCTCTTTTGGGGAGTAAAAATTCCTTCACAAATGTGTTGATGGCTGGACATTGCATCATCCTAGAAAACTTGGAGGCCAGTGAGGACAAAAATAAAAAGTTATAAGACTTTGAAATATGTGGATTTTAGGGTTATCTTTGGCGCCCCCTAGAACCTAAACCGTGGGGTGCAGCGTCATGATTTGAATAACTTTTAATGGCCATGGGGTGTAGATTGGCCTGAGCAAATGTGGTGCCGGTGGAACGCCAGCCTTAGGAGGAGTTAGCGAAATTCCAATGTGTGCGGATCAGCAAAAAATGCGGAATAACCCTTTAACCGTACATTTGACAGATACGCGCGCATCAACTTTTTCGTAGATCTTATTGAGATACATGTGTGTGTCAAATTTTGTGTCAATATGACAAAGCGTACAGGCGTGACACTCAACAATGTGTATTTTCACCTTAGGGGACAAGAAAAAATTGACTTTTTTCACCTGCCATGGGGGGGCGCTCTTTTGGGGATTAAAAGTTCCTTCACAAATGTGTTGATGGCTGGACATTGCATCATCCTAGAAAACTTGGAGGCCAGTGAGGGCAAAAATAAAAAGTTATAAGACTTTTAAATATGTGGATTTTAGGGTTATCTTTGGCGCCCCCTAGAACCTAAACCGTGGGGTGCAGCGTCATGATTTGAATAACTTTTAATGGCCATGGGGTGTAGATTGGCCTGAGCAAATGTGGTGCCGGTGGAACGAAAGCCTTAGGAGGAGTTAGCGAAATTCCAATGTGTGCGTATCGGCAAAAAATGCGGAATAACCCTTTAACCGTACATTTGACAGATACGCCCGCACTGACTTTTTTGTAGATCTTATTGAGATACATGTGTGTGTCAATTTTTGTGTCAATATGACAAAGCGTAAAGGCGTGACAGTCAATAGTGTGAATTTTCACCTTAGGGGGCGCTATGGAGCCATTTTGCATTTTCTTGTTTGGGCGTCTTCGGAATATCAAATTTTTCACCAGGCCCGGTCATCCTGCCAAATTTCATGAGTTTTCGCCAGTGGGAAGTGGGCCATTTTCCAGTTCAAAGGGGAGGAAAAAGAAGAAACTAGGGCCCCGTTGGGGCACTGGCGGGCCGGAGCCGTGTCGCACCCCCCCCCCCCCCCAACGCGCTGCCTCCCCGTCCCATTCGTGTCCTCTGGCCATCGCCCTCTCTGGTAACGCCCATCACAGCAAAGACCCTTTTCCTTCATCGGCGTTTGCTGTTCTTCCTGCCAGTGCGTGTTGCTTTCACTTACACTTGCCACAGCCAGCCTCGTGAGTGCCTAGCCTATTGGATATCACTGTCACCTACACAGGACAGTCATACTTTGTTTTTTAATTTCACATTAATTTCCATATTGTATAAACGACTGGAAAAAACTTGAGCCCCTGCCCCTGTATTATCATGTGCACGTCCCTGTTCTAGCTCCAAGGTGAATCTTCACTGCTCATGTTCTCCTCAGAAGCAGTCACCTCACTCCCCTCAGGTTACTGTACACATGCACCAACTGCCTGCTTCAGGTTTGGATGGAGCTTCATGGTTGTCTTTTGGAGAAATGAGCAGTCAAGTTGTGTTTGAAATTTGATTTTTTTCAGGGGCAAAAGGAAGCCTCTGCATTCTTGTCAAATATGTAAATAGCATGTTTTTGCAGGTGCTAAAAAACAGACTCTGAGTGTGTGTGTGTGTGTGTGTGTGTGTGCGTGTGTGTGTGTGTGTCTGTGTGTGTGTGTGTATCCTGCAGTACTCTGAGAAGAATAATAAGCATATTTCTGAGGTGAATTTTGAAGATTCATCTGAGAGTTAGGTTTGATTCGATTCGATTGACGCTCCCCAGCGTTCAAGTCACATGACATATTTAACCCGGATGTAGCTGCAAGACGGAGCCTCATTAACTCTCCGTTTCAACTTATCTCAAAAGTGAGGACCTCAACCTATATACCAGTTTTTAAATTGTGTTGATAGGCCAAATAAAACCAGAGTTATGATAAATTATGTCCGCGATACTTTTTTTCTGCTTATTTTGATCACGTTCGGCGCTCGATCGCGCTGTATGAGACAGGAAAACATAGCATGCACACATTAGCGACAGGTCTTACAGGCGGAAAAGGCTTGCCAAAAGAAAAAAAAAACACACCACAACATCTCTCCTATTGGTGGAAAACTTCACCACAACAACCAATCCAAAATTATATGGTGACTGAATGACAAGGGGCGGGCGCTTACGTTCTTCCTGCAACATGAGAAGGGAGGGAGGGACTCTCAGCAGGGATGCAGTCTGGGACACGTAGTTGCAAACCTAGCGACTTTGTTGTTAGATTCAATGACTTTTCAGACCCCCTAACGACTTTTTTTAGAAAGAAAGGGACTTTTATCGACTTCTTCTGGAGTTTAGAGACTCTGACATGAAGCAGGCTTTCCTTACTGAGGAGTTAGCAACGCTGCTAAGGGTGCAGAGCCACACATGCGCTCCGAGCTCTGCATGGGAGACTGAAGCTGACAGAGCTGCAGCAGTTAGCAGGTTTCACCCTCAGAGACCACCAGGGGTTCATGTTGAGGCATTTTCAGTTTTTGTTTTTTTTGCCATAGACTGTCAGCACAATCTGCAGTTACACTAACAAAAATGCTGCAAAAAACAAAGAATTATGGAAAAATTACACATGGACTGACATAGAGGAGGATCTACACGAGTTTTTTACATCATGTTTTACATCATGCATCATTTACATCATGTTTTTTTGTAGTGGCATAAAAAAAAAGTGACATTTGTGAGACTATACAGTGTTTTGTAAATAATTTTACAATGAACGCCTGGGCCATTGCCTGCATTTTGATGTAAATAGAGGTAAATTACTATGTTCTTTGTTAAAAATTTGCATATGTTTTGAAGTTTACAATTTTTATTTGAAGTTTAAGTTTTAAAAACAGTTCATCACACATATTTGTGGTTTAATTTCACATTAATTTCCATATTGTATAAATGACTGGAAAAAACTTGAGCCCCTGCCCCTGTATAATCATGTGCACGTCCCTGTTCTAGCTCCAAGGTGAATCTTCACTGCTCATGTTCTCCTCAGAAATAGTCACCTCACTCCCCTCAGGTTACTGTACACATGCACCAACTATCTGCTTCAGGTTTGGATGGAGCTTCATGGTTGTCTTTTGGAGAAATGAACAGTCAAGTTGTGTTTGAAATCTGATTTTTTTCAGGGGCAAAAGGAAGCCTCTGCATTCTTGTCAAATATGTAAACAGCATGTTTTTGCAGGTGCTAAAAAACAGACTCAGAGTGTGCGTGTGTGTGTGTGTGTGTGTGTGTGTGTGTGTGTGTGTGTGTGTGTGTGTGTGTGTGTATATGTGTGTGTATCCTGCAGTACTCTGTACTCCTGCAGTGGCCAAAAAGACTTTTAAGAATGTGGATTTTTGGGTCATCTTTGGCGCCCCCTAGAACTGCAGTACTCTGTACTCCTGCAGTGGCCAAAATGACTTTTAAGAATGTGGATTTTTGGGTCATCTTTGGCGCCCCCTAGAACGTAAACCGTGGGGTGCAGCGTCATGATTTTTACAACTTTGAATGGGCATGGGGTGTAGATTGCCCTGAGCAAATTTGGTATCGGTGGGACGAAAGCCTTAGGAGGAGATAGCCACATTCCAATGTGTGCGAATCGGCAAAAAATGCGAAATAGCCCTTTAACCGTACATTATACAGATACGCGCTTTTTGACTTTTTCGTAGATCTAATTGAGATACACATGATTGTCAATTTTTGTGTCAATATGACAAAGCGTTCAGGCGTGACACTCAACAATGTGTATTTTCATGTAAGGGGACAAGAAAAAATTGACTTTTTTCTCCTGCCATGGGGGGCGCTCTTTTGGGGAGTAAAAATTCCTTCACAAATGTGTTGATGGCTGGACATTGCATCATCCTAGAAAACTTGGAGGGCAGTGAGGACAAAAATAAAAAGTTATAAGACTTTTAAGAATGTGGATTTTGGGTTATCTTTGGCGCCCCCTAGAACCTAAACCGTGGGGTGCAGCGTCATGATTTGTACAACTTTTAATGGCCATGGGGTGTAGATTGGCCTGCGCAAATGTGGTGCCGGTCGAACGAAAGCCTTCGGAGGAGTTAGCGAAATTCCAATGTGTGCAGATCTGCAAAAAATGCAAAATAACCCATTAACCGTACATTTGACAGATACGCCCGCACTGACTTTTTTGTAGATCTTATTGAGATACATGTGTGTGTCAATTTTTGTGTCAATATGACAAAGCGTACAGCCGTCATGTGAATTTTCACCTTAGGGGGCGCTATGGAGCCATTTTGCATTTTATTGTTTGGGCGACTTCAGAATATCGAATTTTTCACCAGGCCCGGTCGTCCTGCCAAATTTCCTGAGTTTTCGCCAGTGGGAAGTGGGCCATTTTCCAGTTTAAAGCGGAGGAAAAATAATAACGAAAGAAGGAAACATGCAGGAACAAGAGGGCTCTCGCAGCTGCTTAGCAGCTACGCTCGGGCCCTAACTAGGGCCCCGTTGGGGCACTGGCGGGCCCGAGCCATGTCACGCCGCCCTCAGCGCGACCGCCTCCCCCACCCGATCGCGTCACACTCAAGGTCCAAAGATGGTGTGCGCACTTGTTTGTGGTCATTTACCATTATAATGAACGGGAGGCGCAGTTTCTACCAAAACGCTCGCTGCAGAAAAACTCCATGTCCTATTTGAAAAAAGTCTGGACCATGAGTGAGGGCACAAACACAGCTAAGATATATCCAAATGGCAAGTTGCTCCTCCTTTCGCTTTTGCCGAGAGAGCAGTGCGTTTGAGCCATTGAATGATGAACAGGAAAAACTTGACTTTATTCTCCTGCCATGGGGGGGCGCTCTTTTAACGAGAAAAAACTCCTTCACAAATGTGTTGATGGCTGGACATTGCATCATCCTAGAAAACATGGAGGCCAGTGAGGACAAAAATAAAAAGTTATAAGACTTTTAAATATGTGGATTTTAGGGTTATCTTTGGCGCCCCCTAGAACCTAAACCGTGGGGTGCAGCGTCATGATTTGAATAACTTTTAATGGCCATGGGGTGTAGATTGGCCTGAGCAAATGTGGTGCCGGTGGAACGAAAGCCTTCGGAGGATTTAGCGAAATTCCAATGTGTGCGAATCTGCAAAAAATGCGAAATAACCCTTTAACCGTACATTTTACAGATACGTGGCCATTGACTTTTTCGAAGATCTTATTGAAATACACGTGTATGTAAAATTTTGTGTCAATACGACAAAACATACAGGCGTAGCACTCAACAATGTGTATTTTCAAGAAAAAATGGACAAGAAAAAATGGACTTTTTTCTCCTGCCATGGGGGGGCGCTCTTTTGGCGAGTAAAAATTCCTTCACAAATGTGTTGATGGCTGGACATTGCATCATCCTAGAAAACTTGGAGGCCAGTGGGGACAAAAATAAAAAGTTATAAGACTTTTAAATATGTGGATTTTACGGTTGAGCAAATGTGGTGCCGGTGGAACGAAAGCCTTCGGAGGAGTTAGCGAAATTCCAATGTGTGCGGATCGGCAAAAAATGCGGAATAACCCTTTAACCGTACATTTGACAGATACGCGCGCATTGACTTTTTCGTAGATCTTATTGAGATACATGTGTGTGTCAATTTTTGTGTCATTTTGCCAAAGCGTACAGGTGTTACACTCAACAATGTGTATTTTCACCTTAGGGGACAAGAAAAAATGGACTTTTTTCTCCTGCCATGGGGGGGCGCTCTTTTGGGGAGTAAAAATTCCTTCACAAATGTGTTGATGGCTGGACATTGCATCATCCTAGAAAACTTGGAGGCCAGTGAGGGCAAAAATAAAAAGTTATAAGACTTTTAAATATGTGGATCTTAGGGTTATCTTTGGCGCCCCCTAGAACCTAAACCGTGGGGTGCAGCATCATGATTTGAATAACTTTTAATGGCCATGGGGTGTAGATTGGTCTGAGCAAATGTGGTGCCGGTGGAACGAAAGCCTTCGGAGGAGTTAGCGAAATTGCAATGTGTGCGGATCGGCAAAAAATGCGAAATAACCCTTTAACCGTACATTTGACAGATACGCCCGCACTGACTTTTTTGTAGATCTTATTGAGATACATGTGTGTGTCAATTTTTGTGTCATTTTGACAAAGCGTACAGGCGTGACAGTCAATAGTGTGAATTTTCACCTTAGGGGGCGCTATGGAGCCATTTTGCATTTTCTTGTTTGGGCGACTTCGGAATATCAAATTTTTCACCAGGCCCGGTCGTCCTGCCAAATTTCATGAGTTTTCGCCAGTGGGAAGTGGGCCATTTTCCAGTTCAAAGGGGAGGAAAAATAATAACTAGGACCCCGTTGGGGCACTGGCGGGCCCGAGCCGTGTCGCGTCCCCCCCCCAACGTGCTGCCTCCCCGTCCCATTTGTGTCCTCTGGCCATCGCCCTCTCTGGTAACGCCCATCACTGCAAAGACCCTTTTCCTTCATCGGCGTTTGCTGTTCTTCCTGCCAGTGCGTGTTGCTTTCACTTACACTTGCCACAGCCAGCCTCGTGAGTGCCTAGCCTATTGGATATCACTGTCACCTACACAGGACAGTCATTACCTTTCTATTAATACTTTGTGTTTTAATTTCACATTAATTTCCATATTGTATAAACGACTGGAAAAAACTTGAGCCCCTGCCCCTGTATAATCATGTGCATGTCTCTGTTCTAGCTCCAAGGTGAATCTTCACTGCTCATGTTCTCCTCAGAAGCACTCACCTCACTCCCCTCAGGTTACTGTACACATGCACCAACTGCCTGCTTCAGGTTTGGATGGAGCTTCATGGTTGTCTTTTGGAGAAATGACCAGTCAAGTTGTGTTTGAAATTTGATTTTTTTCAGGGGCAAAAGGAGCCTCTGCATTCTTGTCAAATATGTAAATAGCATGTTTTTGCAGGTGCTAAAAACCAGACTCTGAGTGTGTGTGTGTGTGTGCGTGTGTCTGTGTGTGCGTTCAAGTCACATGACATATTTAACCGGATGTAGCTGCAAGACGGAGCCTCGTTGACTCTCCGTTTCAACTTATCTCAAAAGTGAGGACCTCAACCTATATACCAGTTTTTAAATTGTGTTGATAGGCCAAATAAAACCAGAGTTATGATAAATTATGTCCGCGATACTTTTTTTCTGCTTATTTTGATCACGTTCGGCGCTCGATCGCGCTGTATGAGACAGGAAAACATAGCATGCAGACATTAGCGACAGGTCTTACAGGCGGAAAAGGCTTGCCAAAAGAAAAAAAAAACACACCACAACATCTCTCCTATTGGTGGAAAACTTCACCACAACAACCAATCCAAAATTATATGCTTACGTTCTTCCTGCAACATGAGAAGGGAGGGAGGGACTCTCAGCAGGGATGCAGTCTGGGACACGTAGTTGCAAACCTAGCGACTTTGTTGTTAGATTCAATGACTTTTCAGACCCCCTAACGACTTTTTTTTTAGAAAGAAAGGGACTTTTATCGACTTCTTCTGGAGTTTAGAGACTCTGACATGAAGCAGGCTTTCCTTACTGAGGAGTTAGCAACGCTGCTAAGGGTGCAGAGCCACACATGCGCTCAGAGCTCTGCATGGGAGACTGAAGCTGACAGAGCTGCAGCAGTTAGCAGGTTTCACCCTCAGAGACCACCAGGGGTTCATGTTGAGGCATTTTAATTTTTTTTTTTTTTTTGTGCCATAGACACTGTCAGCACAATCTGCAGTTACACTAACAAAAATGCTGCAAAAAACAAAGAATTATGGAAAAATTACACATGGACTGACATAGAGGAGGATCTACACAAGTTTTTTACATCATGTTTTACATCATGCATCATTTACATCATGTTTTTTTGTAGTGGCATAAATAAAAAGTGACATTTGTGAGACTATACAGTGTTTTGTAAATAATTTTACAAAGAACGCCTGGGCCATTGCCTGCATTTTGATGTAAATAGAGGTAAATCACTATGTTCTTTGTTAAAAATTTGCATATGTTTTGAAGTTTACAATTTTTATTTGAAGTTTAAGTTTTAAAAACAGTTCATCACACATATTTGTGGTTTTCACAGTAAAAATGTTACTTTTTTCCACTCGGATTTTATGTTTTGTGTGTGAATTTGGGTCCATTGTGTAAATTCAGTATGTCAACATGATAAAATAACTGTAAATTCGCACAGGTGAGGTTGTGCTGAAAAAAATGATACCAGGCAAGGCACGTGATTATCAAATTTTGTGTCAATATGACAAAGCGTATAGGCGTGAATCTCAACAATATGTATTTTCACCTTAAGGGACAAGAAAAAATGGACTTTTTTCTCCTGCCATGGGGGGGCGCTCTTTTGGGGAGTAAAAATTCCTTCACAAATGTGTTGATGGCTGGACATTGCATCATCCTAGAAAACTTGGAGGCCAGTGAGGACAAAAATAAAAAGTTATAAGACTTTTAAATATGTGGATTTTAGGGTTATCTTTGGCGCCCCCTAGAACGTAAACCGTGGGGTGCAGCGTCATGATTTTGATAACTTTTAATGGCCATGGGGTGTAGATTGGCCTGAGCAAATGTGGTGCCGGTGGAACGAAAGCCTTCGGAGGAGTTAGCGAAATTCCAATGTGTGCGGATCGGCAAAAAATGCGGAATAACCCTTTAACCGTACATTTGACAGATACGCGCGCATTGACTTTTTCGTAGATTTTATTGAGTTACATGTGTGTGTCAATTTTTGTGTCATTTTGACAAAGCATATAGGCGTGACACTCAACAATGTGTATTTTCACCTTAGGGGACAAGAAAAAATGGACTTTTTTCTCCTGCCATGGGGGGGCGCTCTTTTGGGGAGTAAAAATTCCTTTTAACGAGAAAAAACTCCTTCACAAATGTGTTCATGGCTGGACATTGCATCATCCTAGAAAACTTGGAGGCCAGTGAGGGCAAAAATAAAAAGTTATAAGACTTTTAAATATGTGGATCTTAGGGTTATCTTTGGCGCCCCCTAGAACCTAAACCGTGGGGTGCAGCGTCATGATTTGAATAACTTTTAATGGCCATGGGGTGTAGATTGGCCTGAGCAAATGTGGTGCCGGTGGAACGAAAGCCTTCGGAGGAGTTAGCGAAATTCCAATGTGTGCTAATCGGCAAAAAATGCAAAATAGCCCTTTAACCGTACATTTTACAGATACGCGCGCATTGACTTTTTCGTAGATCTTATTGAGATACATGTGTGTGTCAAATTTTGTGTCAATATGACAAAGCATACAGGTATGACAGTCAACAATGTGTATTTTCACCTTATGGGACAAGAAAAAATGGACTTTTTTCTCCTGCCATGGGGGGGCGCTCTTTTGGGGAGTAAAAATTCCTTCACAAATGTGTTGATGGCTGGACATTGCATCATCCTAGAAAACTTGGAGGCCAGTGAGGACAAAAATAAAAAGTTATAAGACTTTTAAATATGTGGATTTTAGGGTTATCTTTGGCGCCCCCTAGAACCTAAACCGTGGGGTGCAGCGTCATGATTTGAATAACTTTTAATGGCCATGGGGTGTAGATTGGCCTGAGCAAATGTGGTGCCGGTGGAACGAAAGCCTTCGGAGGAGTTAGCGAAATTCCAATGTGTGCGGATCGGCAAAAAATGCGGAATAACCCTTTAACTGTACATTTGACAGATACGCGCGCATTGACTTTTTCGTAGATCTTATTGAGATACATGTGTGTGTCAATTTTTGTGTCATTTTGCCAAAGCGTACAGGTGTTACACTCAACAATGTTTATTTTCACCTTAGGGGACAAGAAAAAATGGACTTTTTTCTCCTGCCATGGGGGGGCGCTCTTTTGGGGAGTAAAAATTCCTTCACAAATGTGTTGATGGCTGGACATTGCATCATCCTAGAAAACTTGGAGGCCAGTGAGGGCAAAAATAAAAAGTTATAAGACTTTTAAATATGTGGATCTTAGGGTTATCTTTGGCGCCCCCTAGAACCTAAACCGTGGGGTGCAGCGTCATGATTTGAATAACTTTTAATGGCCATGGGGTGTAGATTGGCCTGAGCAAATGTGGTGCCGGTGGAACGAAAGCCTTCGGAGGAGTTAGCGAAATTCCAATGTGTGCGAATCTGCAAAAAATGCGAAATAACCCTTTAACCGTACATTTTACAGATACGTGGCCATTGACTTTTTCGAAGATCTTATTGAAATACACGTGTATGTAAAATTTTGTGTCAATACGACAAAACATACAGGCGTAGCACTCAACAATGTGTATTTTCACCTTAGTGGACAAGAAAAAATGGACTTTTTCTCCTGCCATGGGGGGGCGCTCTTTTGGCGAGTAAAAATTCCTTCACAAATGTGTTGATGGCTGGACATTGCATCATCCTAGAAAACTTGGAGGCCAGTGGGGACAAAAATAAAAAGTTATAAGACTTTTAAATATGTGGATTTTACGGTTATCTTTGGCGCCCCCTAGAACCTAAACCGTGGGGTGCAGCATCATGATTTGAATAACTTTTAATGGCCATGGGGTGTAGATTGGCCTGAGCAAATGTGGTGCCGGTGGAACGAAAGCCTTCGGAGGAGTTAGCGAAATTCCAATGTGTGCGGATCGGCAAAAAATGCGGAATAACCCTTTAACTGTACATTTGACAGATACGCGCGCATTGACTTTTTCGTAGATCTTATTGAGATACATGTGTGTGTCAATTTTTGTGTCATTTTGCCAAAGCGTACAGGTGTTACACTCAACAATGTTTATTTTCACCTTAGGGGACAAGAAAAAATGGACTTTTTTCTCCTGCCATGGGGGGGCGCTCTTTTGGGGAGTAAAAATTCCTTCACAAATGTGTTGATGGCTGGACATTGCATCATCCTAGAAAACTTGGAGGCCAGTGAGGGCAAAAATAAAAAGTTATAAGACTTTTAAATATGTGGATCTTAGGGTTATCTTTGGCGCCCCCTAGAACCTAAACCGTGGGGTGCAGCGTCATGATTTGAATAACTTTTAATGGCCATGGGGTGTAGATTGGCCTGAGCAAATGTGGTGCTGGTGGAACGAAAGCCTTCGGAGGAGTTAGTGAAATTCCAATGTGTGCGGATCGGCAAAAAATGCGAAATAACCCTTTAACCGTACATTTGACAGATACGCCCGCACTGACTTTTTTGTAGATCTTATTGAGATACATGTGTGTGTCAATTTTTGTGTCATTTTGACAAAGCGTACAGGCGTGACAGTGAATAGTGTGAATTTTCACCTTAGGGGGCGCTATGGAGCCATTTTGCATTTTCTTGTTTGGGCGACTTCGGAATATCAAATTTTTCACCAGGCCCGGTCGTCCTGCCAAATTTCATGAGTTTTCGCCAGTGGGAAGTGGGCCATTTTCCAGTTCAAAGGGGAGGAAAAATAACTAGGACCCCGTTGGGGCACTGGCGGGCCCGAGCCGTGTCGCGTCCCCCCCCCCCCAACGTGCTGCCTTCCCGTCCCATTTGTGTCCTCTGGCCATCGCCCTCTCTGGTAACGCCCATCACTGCAAAGACCCTTTTCCTTCATCGGCGTTTGCTGTTCTTGCTGCCAGTGCGTGTTGCTTTCACTTACACTTGCCACAGCCAGCCTCGTGAGTGCCTAGCCTATTGGATATCACTGTCACCTACACAGGACAGTCATTACCTTTCTATTAATACTTTGTGTTTTAATTTCACATTAATTTCCATATTGTATAAACGACTGGAAAAAACTTGAGCCCCTGCCCCTGTATAATCATGTGCATGTCTCTGTTCTAGCTCCAAGGTGAATCTTCACTGCTCATGTTCTCCTCAGAAGCACTCACCTCACTCCCCTCAGGTTACTGTACACATGCACCAACTGCCTGCTTCAGGTTTGGATGGAGCTTCATGGTTGTCTTTTGGAGAAATGACCAGTCAAGTTGTGTTTGAAATTTGATTTTTTTCAGGGGCAAAAGGAGCCTCTGCATTCTTGTCAAATATGTAAATAGCATGTTTTTGCAGGTGCTAAAAACCAGACTCTGAGTGTGTGTGTGTGTGTGTGTGCGTGTGTGTGTGTGCGTGTGTGCGTGTGTGTGTGTCTGTGTGTGCGTTCAAGTCACATGACATATTTAACCGGATGTAGCTGCAAGACGGAGCCTCGTTGACTCTCCGTTTCAACTTATCTCAAAAGTGAGGACCTCAACCTATATACCAGTTTTTAAATTGTGTTGATAGGCCAAATAAAACCAGAGTTATGATAAATTATGTCCGCGATACTTTTTTTCTGCTTATTTTGATCACGTTCGGCGCTCGATCGCGCTGTATGAGACAGGAAAACATAGCATGCAGACATTAGCGACAGGTCTTACAGGCGGAAAAGGCTTGCCAAAAGAAAAAAAAAACACACCACAACATCTCTCCTATTGGTGGAAAACTTCACCACAACAACCAATCCAAAGTTATATGGTGACTGATTGACAAGGGGCGGGCGCTTACGTTCTTCCTGCAACATGAGAAGGGAGGGAGGGACTCTCAGCAGGGATGCAGTCTGGGACACGTAGTTGCAAACCTAGCGACTTTGTTGTTAGATTCAATGACTTTTCAGACCCCCTAACGACTTTTTTTTAGAAAGAAAGGGACTTTTATCGACTTCTTCTGGAGTTTAGAGACTCTCACATGAAGCAGGCTTTCCTTACTGAGGAGTTAGCAACGCTGCTAAGGGTGTAGAGCCACACATGCGCTCAGAGCTCTGCATAGGAGACTGAAGCTGACAGAGCTGCAGCAGTTAGCAGGTTTCACCCTCAGAGACCACCAGGGGTTCATGTTGAGGCATTTTAATTTTTTTTTTTTTTGTGCCATAGACACTGTCAGCACAATCTGCAGTTACACTAACAAAAATGCTGCCAAAAACAAAGAATTATGGAAAAATTACACATGGACTGACATAGAGGAGGATCTACACAAGTTTTTTACATCATGTTTTACATCATGCATCATTTACATCATGTTTTTTTGTAGTGGCATAAATAAAAAGTGACATTTGTGAGACTATACAGTGTTTTGTAAATAATTTTACAAAGAACGCCTGGGCCATTGCCCGCATTTTGATGTAAATAGAGGTAAATTACTATGTTCTTTGTTAAAAATTTGCATATGTTTTGAAGTTTACAAATTTTATTTGAAGTTTAAGTTTTAAAAACAGTTCATCACACATATTTGTGGTTTAATTTCACATTAATTTCCATATTGTATAAATGACTGGAAAAAACTTGAGCCCCTGCCCCTGTATAATCATGTGCACGTCCCTGTTCTAGCTCCAAGGTGAATCTTCACTGCTCATGTTCTCCTCAGAAATAGTCACCTCACTCCCCTCAGGTTACTGTACACATGCACCAACTATCTGCTTCAGGTTTGAAATGGAGCTTCATGGTTGTCTTTTGGAGAAATGAACAGTCAAGTTGTGTTTGAAATTTGATTTTTTTCAGGGGCAAAAGGAAGCCTCTGCATTCTTGTCAAATATGTAAACAGCATGTTTTTGCAGGTGCTAAAAAACAGACTCTGAGTGTGTGTGTGTGTCTGTGTGTGTGTGTGTGTGTGTGTGTGTGTGTATGTTGGCGTGTGTGTATATGTGTGTGTATCCTGCAGTACTCTGTACTCCTGCAGTGGCCAAAAAGACTTTTAAGAATGTGGATTTTTGGGTCATCTTTGGCGCCCCCTAGAACTGCAGTACTCTGTACTCCTGCAGTGGCCAAAATGACTTTTAAGAATGTGGATTTTTGGGTCATCTTTGGCGCCCCCTAGAACGTAAACCGTGGGGTGCAGCGTCATGATTTTTACAACTTTGAATGGGCATGGGGTGTAGATTGCCCTGAGCAAATTTGGTATCGGTGGGACGAAAGCCTTAGGAGGAGATAGCCACATTCCAATGTGTGCGAATCGGCAAAAAATGCAAAATAGCCCTTTAACCGTACATTATAAAGATACGCGCTCTTTGACTTTTTCGTAGATCTAATTGAGATACACATGATTGCTAATTTTTGTGTCAATATGACAAAGTGTTCAGGCGTGACACTCAACAATGTGTATTTTCATGTAAGGGGACAAGAAAAAATTGACTTTTTTCTCCTACCATGGGGGGGCGCTCTTTTGGGGAGTAAAAATTCCTTCACAAATGTGTTGATGGCTGGACATTGCATCATCCTAGAAAACTTGGAGGCCAGTGAGGACAAAAATAAAAAGTTATAAAACATTTAAGAATGTGCATTTTTGGGTTATTTTTGGCGCCCCCTAGAACCTAAACCATGGGGTGCAGCATCATGATTTGAATAACTTTTAATGGCCATGGGGTGTAGATTGGCCTGAGCAAATTTGGTGCCGGTGGAACGAAAGCCTTCGGAGGAGTTAGCGAAATTCCAATGTGTGCGTATCGGCAAAAAATGCGGAATAACCCTTTAACTGTACATTTGACAGATACGCGCGCATGGACTTTTTTGTAGATCTTATTGAGTTACATGTGTGTGTCAATTTTTGTGTCATTTTGACAAAGCGTATAGGCGTGACACTCAACAATGTGTATTTTCACCTTAGGGGACAAGAAAAAATGGACTTTTTTCTCCTGCCATGGGGGGGCGCTCTTTTGGGGAGTAAAAATTCCTTCACAAATGTGTTGATGGCTGGACATTGCATCATCCTAGAAAACTTGGAGGCCAGTGAGGGCAAAAATAAAAAGTTATAAGACTTTTAAATATGTGGATCTTAGGGTTATCTTTGGCGCCCCCTAGAACCTAAACCTTGGGGTGCAGCGTCATGATTTTGATAACTTTTAATGGCCACGGGGTGTAGATTGGCCTGAGCAAATGTGGTGCCGGTGGAACGAAAGCCTTCGGAGGAGTTAGCGAAATTCCAATGTGTGCGGATCGGCAAAAAATGCGAAATAACCCTTTAACCGTAATTTTGACAGATACGGCCGCACTGACTTTTTTGTAGATCTTATTGAGATACATGTGTGTGTCAATTTTTGTGTCAATATGACAAAGCGTACAGGCGTGACAGTCAATAGTGTGAATTTCCACCTTAGGGGGCGCTATGGAGCCATTTTGCATTTTATTGTTTTGGCGACTTCAGAATATCGAATTTTTCACCAGGCCCGGTCGTCCTGCCAAATTTCATGAGTTTTCGCCAGTGGGAAGTGGGCCATTTTCCAGTTCAAAGGGGAGGAAAAAGAAAAAAGAAAGAAAGAAACAAAGAAAAACCACTTGGGGAATAATAGGGCCTACGCCCGGCTGCTCTGCAGCTGGCTCGGGCCCTAATAATAACTAGGGCCCCGTTGGGGCACTGGCGGGCCCGAGCCGCGTTGCGCCGCCCCCAGTGCGACCGCCTCCCCCTCCCGATCGCGTCACACTCAAGGTCCAAAGTTGGTGTGCGCACTTGTCTGTGGTCTTTTCCCATTATAATGAATGGGAGGCGCAGTTTCTACCAAAACACTCGCTGCAGACAAACTACATGTCCTATTTGAAAAAAGTCTGGACCATGAGTGAGGGCACAAACACAGCTAGGATATATCCAAACGGCAAGTTGCTCCTCGTTACGGTGTTGCCGGGAGAGCGATGCGATTGAGCCATTGAGTGATGGGCAGGAAAAACTTGACTGTTTCTCCTGCCATGGGGGATGGGGGATGGGGGATGGGGGGAGGGATGTGGATTCTTTTAAGAATGTGGATATTTGGGTCATCTTTGGCGCCCCCTAGAACGTAAACCGTGGGGTGCAGCGTCATGATTTTTAAAACTTTGAATGGCCATGGGGTGTAGATTGGCCTGAGCAAATTTGGTGTCATTGGGACGAAAGCCTTAGGAGGAGTTAGCCACATTCCAATGTGTGCGAATCGGCAAAAAATGCAAAATAGCCCTTTAACCGTACATTTTACAGATACGCGCGCATTGACTTTTTCGTAGATCTTATTGAGATACATGTGTGTGTCAAATTTTGTGTCAATATGACAAAGCATACAGGTATGACAGTCAACAATGTGTATTTTCACCTTATGGGACAAGAAAAAATGGACTTTTTTCTCCTGCCATGGGGGGGCGCTCTTTTGGGGAGTAAAAATTCCTTCACAAATGTGTTGATGGCTGGACATTGCATCATCCTAGAAAACTTGGAGGCCAGAGAGGACAAAAATAAAAAGTTATAAGACTTTTAAATATGTGGATTTTAGGGTTATCTTTGGCGCCCCCTAGAACCTAAACCGTGGGGTGCAGCGTCATGATTTGAATAACTTTTAATGGCCATGGGGTGTAGATTGGCCTGAGCAAATGTGGTGCCGGTGGAACGAAAGCCTTCGGAGGAGTTAGCGAAATTCCAATGTGTGCGGATCGGCAAAAAATGCGCAATAACCCTTTAACCGTACATTTGACAGATACGCCAGCACTGACTTTTTTGTAGATCTTATTGAGATACATGTGTGTGTCAATTTTTGTGTAATTTTGACAAAGCGTACAGGCGTGACAGTCAATAGTGTGAATTTTCACCTTATGGGACAAGAAAAAATGGACTTTTTTCTCCTGCCATGGGGGGCGCTCTTTTGGGGAGTAAAAATTCCTTCACAAATGTGTTGATGGCTGGACATTGCATCATCCTAGAAAACTTGGAGGCCAGTGAGGGCAAAAATAAAAAGTTATAAGACTTTGAAATATGTGGATTTTAGGGTTATCTTTGGCGCCCCCTAGAACCTAAACCGTGGGGTGCAGCGTCATGATTTGAATAACTTTTAATGGCCATGGGGTGTAGATTGGCCTGAGCAAATGTGGTGCCGGTGGAACGAAAGCCTTCGGAGGAGTTAGCGAAATTCCAATGTGTGCGGATCGGCAAAAAATGCGCAATAACCCTTTAACCGTACATTTGACAGATACGCCCGCACTGACTTTTTTGTAGATCTTATTGAGATACATGTGTGTGTCAATTTTTGTGTCATTTTGACAAAGCGTACAGGCGTGACAGTGAATAGTGTGAATTTTCACCTTAGGGGGCGCTATGGAGCCATTTTGCATTTTCTTGTTTGGGCGACTTCGGAATATCAAATTTTTCACCAGGCCCGGTCGTCCTGCCAAATTTCATGAGTTTTCGCCAGTGGGAAGTGGGCCATTTTCCAGTTCAAAGGGGAGGAAAAATAATAACTAGGGCCCCGGTGGGGCACTGTCGGGCCCGAGCCGCGTCGTGCCGCCCCCAGCGTGACCGCCTCCCCCTCCCGATCGCGTCACACTCAAGGTCCAAAGATGGTGTGCGCACTTGTCTGTGGTCATTTCCCATTATAATGAATGGGAGGCGCAGTTTCTACCAAAACACTCGCTGCAGACAAACTTCATGTCCTATTTGAAAAAAGTCTGGACCATGAGTGAGGGCACAAACACAGCTGGGATATATCCAAATGGCAGGTTGCTCCTCGTTACGGTGTTGCCTGGAGAGCGATGCGATTGAGCCATTGAGCGATGGGCAGGAAAAACTTGACTTTTTCTCCTGCCATGGGGGGGGGGAGAATGTGGATTCTTTTAAGAATGTGG